AAAAGGCTGATGAGTTTATAAATGAACACAGAGAAAACCATCAAAGGCAGGGAAAGAAGAAATCAGTGTAGATCAGATTAGTTCTGGAAGTCAGGACAGCCTTGGGCTAGAACCTTAAGTACAGGCAGATTTAGAAACACAACAGAGGGAAAGGATAGGCATTCTAGGCAGGCAGGACAGCACCAAAAAAGACCTGGCAATAACCAGAAACATGGTGCACAGTATGTTAGAACCAGAAAGAGTTTTAAATATGACTTAGTCCAATAGTTCAATTCTCATAGGGATGTTGTAAACATTCAGTCAAAAACAAAAAAACATGTACTACTAAGCAGAGGAGCTGGCACATCACAAACTGTCACTAACTGGTAGCTATTATTACTATTACTCAAAAATAATAATTACCCAACACTTAGTAGGAGCCTGTTGTATGCCACACAGCATGCTGAGGGAAGGAACTACAACAATGGGCAAGACAGGTTTGGACTCTGCTCTCTCTTATAGCTAAGAATCTGGTGGGGAAGAGAGACAAAATAATCCTTGATAGGCATGGGCTAGAGGAAGTATGGGGGGTGGGGGTGGGACTGAAGGAACAAAGAGTAGGGTCATCCAATCAGTGGGTAGTAAAAGAGAACTCCCTGATTATCAAAGTGTGTTTTGAGACATCTTGAGGGGGGGTTCTGAGTCCCCTTACAGACTCCAAGGCTTCAAAGTGAGATTTTGCTTGAATAAAAGGTATTGTGGTAAATAAAGGTTTAAAAACCACAAATCTAGTTCAATCTCCTCTTCTAACAAGAACAAAATAGGGCCCAGATGAGGTAAATTATACATCTGAGGCAGCAATACTTCAAGTTAGTTATAGACTGGGATACTTGCTTTGAACTTGAGCCGGAAACTACTCACTGATCTGCATACCACATCATTCTGGCAGATGAACAAGCACTGGGAGTAGACGAATCCAGAATTCCTAGGCACTGGCCAGGCAGGCCGGCTGGTCCTGACTGGATATTGCCATGTTTTCTCTACCTTACATCCCAAGCCAGCTCTCGGTGCCAAAATGATGCCTCCAGTTCCTCTCTGAAGTTGGCCATTTACACCTTCCAGGAGGAATTCATGGCTCCAGGAGTGGGTCTGCTTCTGAGCCACCCATCTCATAACCATGATTTATCCCACTAATATCCCCCAGCACCATGTGGTTTGGCAAGTTGAGAGCAACAACTGAGTCTAACCAGTTATCACAGCCTATTTAATACATAGCCTGAGCTGGCTAGACCCACTCTCATCTCCCTAAATACCACTAAGTTAATCACTCCTCCCATGGGGGTGAGGGTCGGGTGGGATGGGTCCAGCAGAGTCAAATTATTAGTAAATTAAAGAACCTGTGTAGAAAAACTAATATTCCTTTGGTTAACCCTTACTTTACACCTCTCAGGAATGAAAGGCTACTTCATGTTTTGGAGATGAAACTTCTGGACATAAAGAAAGGGGCAGTTTACTTGCTTAGATGAGTTTGCAGTTTAGGTCTTTTTTTTTTTTTTAAGATTTTATTTATTTATTTATTAGAGAGAATGAGAGAGAGAGCACAAGAAGGGGGAGGGTCAGAGGGAGAAGCAGACTCCCCGCCAAGCAGGGAGTCTGATGTGGGACTCGATCCCGGGACTCCGGGATCATGACCTGAGCTGAAGGCAGTCGCCCAACCAACTGAGCCACCCAGGTGCCCTACAGTTTAGGTCTTTAAACTAAGGGGAAACAAATACTTTGGAATCTGAGAAAAAAATTGGGTTTAAATCTTAGTGATACCACATAGTAGTTGCAAGATCCTTAGCATTCTCAAAATACTCTGAACCTCAACTTTCTTGATCATAAATAGGGAATACTAATAAAATTACTGTCACAACTGTGAGACTCAAAATACTCTTTGGAATCACAGTCACTTACGAATTATACTGTATCAATTTTTACATGAGATCCTAAGACCATACAGTTTTAAATTACCGATCCCGGGAGCATAAAAAAACAGAGAAATGGAACCAAGGTTCTCCTTACAGTACGGGATAAGCTCAGGATAGCACAGGCAGACCTGAGTTTGAATCTACACCTCCCAGCTCACATCTGTGGAATCCTACAAAAGTTACTCCAATCTCTTTAGCCTTACTCTCCTCCTGTATAAAATGCAATTAATACCACCTAACTCACAGGGCTGCTCTTAGTAATGAATGAGATAAGGCAAGTAAAGGACTTTAAACACAGGCTGGTTTATGGTAAGGACTCAATAAACAGTAACCTTTTCCACCAGTAGATCATTTCCTAAACCCTCTTTTCCATACACTTCTGCAACACAAGAGAAGCACTTAGCACAGCCTAAATTACCTCAATTACCAGAGAAATATATAATGAAAAGATAAAAGAGGAAAGAAATGAACTGATGAATGCTATTCCAGATCACTTATCATACTAAAGATATGTGATATTGGAAAACACAGGTACAATATCCTGAAGAACAAAACCACAGCATGTGCAATCTTTCCAAAGAAGTGGCAAAGAGCACCAACTGCAGCTTAGTTAGGCTATCCATTACGGTTATCTGGGCCCCACAGGAGTCTCTCTACAAAACAGAAAGGGCTACAGGGAGACAACTCTAATGCCACATGCGAGTCACTACTTCTTTGTAAACCCAACCTTTATTTTTTCAGCTCAAAATCCATCTCTATCACAAAGATTTCATTGACTCTCCCTAGCAGACTCAAGTGCTTGCCCCACTGAATTTCTCACACACTTCCATTATAACAATTATCTAGCACTACAAAGCTATTTACATATCTCTTCCTTACACTAAGTTGGTAAAGATTGTCTTACCTTTGAATTGCCAGTGTATAACACACAGTAGACCTCCATCATTACAAATTATAAGAATGGCTTTCACCTTTTTCTTCACTAGCTAAGGCTGCTAAGAAACAGCTGGGTAGACTCTAGTATTACATAAACTAAGGTCTGCCAGACCAGACCCCTGTTTTTTTCTTTGTTTAGGGTGAGGGCGCTTGAAGGGTTAACTGGCTGTTCCTACTTCTCAGAGTTATCTCCTCAAACACACAAAAGACAGAGACAGTCCATATAGAATTTCCAGACCACAGATTAAATTCTTTCTCAGTAAAAAATAACAGAAGTTTCAGGGATGGATGCTAGTGGTTACACATAAAGCTGACCTCCAGGCATGACACTCTAAGTCTATATAATACACTCATAATAAGCATATTATACAACTAGAAGCTCTTAAGTTCTTGAAACATAATGAAAGAAAAGGTAAGAAGCAAAAATCAAAAAATGTCTTACATCAAAACGTGGAAGTTCTTTTCTTACGTTTTCTTTTCTCCTCTGCTAATTCTTTAGCTCTTTACCTCAGTGAACCCTGATATATGTAACTGAAATTAGCCTCTCTCAAAGGAGAACTCATAACTAACAAACTATATGTAATAACTTCAATACTATATTTCCTTTTTCCAAGGCGCTTTTAAATGTATCTCACTGAATCACAGCCAACTGTAATCAAAGAAACTTAAAGCTGTAAGGGGCCTCAGAGGTCATTTCCACAACCACCCCATGTCACCAACCAAGTGGCATCTAAACACCTCTAGTGGATGGGAGCTATGGGACTAAAATGGTTCTTAAAAATCTCTCCTGGTTCTAACCACCTGTCGGGTACTCAGTCTCCTGCCACCTTAATGATCCCAATCAGGTAAACCAAATCCACCAAGTCATCCCACCACAAAGCAACAGTCTTGACTTCTCAAGTCCACTTCTACTCCCTTTCTGAGCCTCTCCCCCAGACTTCCCCAATCACCCACCCCAAAGCCTCTAAGATTCTGATCCCTCAGGGATCCCCTGGGTTCCATTCCTGACAATCAATCTCCTTCCTCCCATCCCTCTGTGCTGTCTATATTGTGTCCTGTGCAAGGCCATAAGCACCCCTTGTTCTGAATATACCTTTGGCCTCAAAATCATCTCCCTCTACTTTCTCACCTTCTCTTCACTTCTCAGAGCTGTCCCTTCATTCCTTCCAAACTCAATGTGTCTTTCTTCCTAGTGACTCAAGGACCACTGGTAATTAAATACATCCGTTGTTAAATGCCTCTTAAACAGGTAAAGGGGACATACATCCTTAAGGAGCTCATCCTCAAAGAACTCATACGTTTAGAAGGAGCCAGAAATAGAGAATTCACTTACCCCATAAGACTCGGTTCCTCTAGGAAGGAACCCAAACTAAATTGGTCCCCTCTTTGCAGTGCCATCATTAAACCTCTGATGCAGTGACTAGTCTTCCCTGTGTGTCTCCCATCACTAGGCTGTGGCCTCGTCAATGGGAAGGCCCCTACATCCCTAGCACTTAGTCCAGAACTCAACTCAGCACAAAGATGATATGTTAAATGAGTGAATGGATGAATTCCGGTATGTGATCATTCGTTCATCCATTCAGTGCCCAAAACTTTATTTAAAGTACACTAGGTACAAAGTCCTAGAATGTATGGAAAAATAAAATAGTTCTTATATAAAAAATAATGCTATAATACTAGCAGATTAGCACTCTTCCCCGGTCCGCCTCCCCAACCCCCACGCCAAACCTAGACGCGACTCTCCCACAGCTAAAGCCCGGCCTTCCCTTACAGAAGTCCACGCCCCTCCGACTCAAACTACCTCTCAGCCCTTCAGTCCTACCCTAGGACCCCCCAAGTAATACCTCAAATCTTAATGCCCCCATCCTCTCTGGCTTCTTTCCCTATCTTCCATCTCCACCCTCGAGGTTACTGCAGGTCTTCTTCCCCCATGTCCGCCTCCGACTCTCCGAGTCCAGGGTATCTCTGATTTCCCTCTCCGCGCACCCGCCCCCCATTTGGCTCCTTCCCTCTCAGGGTCCCGCCTCCCCTAGGACCCTACTCCCGATACCTCTCCTCCCCTCCCTTCAGTTTCAGGGTAAGCCTCTTCCCTCCTTGACTCTGAACTCTTCTTACCTCATCTAGCTCCCGTTCCCCGGCAGCACCTCCTCCAACCTCCACCTCCACCACTGCCGCCATCTTCACAACTCTCCCCCTCCTCCGTCCCCGTGCGAGCCAGCTGCTTCCGCCGCTCAAGTGATCCTAGCCAATAGGCGGCTCAAGCTCCAGCAGGGGGGCGGGGCATCAAGACAGGCGGAGCTCTGAGAGGGATTAAGAGACCGTCTACCTGCTACTCTTTAAAGGTCAGGGAGGGACGGTTTCCAGGCACTTCCAAGTTTCGGTGGAGGAGGGTTCTTGGGAAATGAGAAATTGGGGCTGTATTATTTATAGTGCAAATATTTCACCAACTCTCCCCTTTGGACAGCGAAAGAGAAGAATCTCTAAACCGTCAACTTTCGCGACGCTCCCTCACTCTGAGCTCCAAGGCGTGAAGCGTGGAGGCAAAGGACTACATATCCCAGAACGTATTGAATCTGACCCGGAAGTTTAACTTCCGCGCTCTGGACAGATTTGTAGTGAGTGAAAATTTGCGTAAGATATTCATTTACAAATAGACATAAAATATACATAGCTACGCACGAATGTCTTCTTGCTTCGATGGGAGTTCTCTTTCAGAAACAGCGGCTTCCTGAGGCGACAGGACACATTCCGGGACTTGGGGTGGCGTAAGAGTCGTGCTCCAGGTCAGAAGGCGGAGGTCAGAGGGCCGGATTGGCGGGAGAATGGGTTTGTGGTCCAAGATCTGAGGCAGCGGTGCTCTTCGAGGTCCATTGTCCCGGGTGAGGGGCTTTGCGGGGGTTGTTGATGGGGAGGGGAGTTGCCGAGAATGGGTGGCCGTCAAGGAAAGTTACAGAACAGCGCGTTCCGAGGTGCGGGGGAAGCGGCTGTGCGGCTTAGCCTCCTGAACCTGAGAGAAGAGCCTTGGGGCACCTCCACCGCTCCCAATCTGCTGTTTGCGCTCTCACGGCTTAGGGTCGCTTTACAAATCTCTGTACTCTTTCCCACCACACATCGTGCGTGCGCAGCCCCTATCTTTACCCCCGCCCGTACACCTTATTCTCTCTGTGCTGCACCCCAACTTAAAGCTTCCTAATTCATTTCCACCCCTTTCTTATCGGTACATCCGGACCCAACACCATACAAACCTATGGCCCCTGCACATTTGCCCCGTGGGCGGCCCAGCTGGATCTATCGGGAGAATAGTGCTAGGATGACCAGTGGACTCACAATGCAGTGCCTGTCAACTTTATTTTAGGACCAACAGGAAGTTACAGGGTAATATTTACACCATCTACAGGCATCTTATTTACTTAAAAGGGGAATTACTTTTATTATGTGAAACAATACAGAGAATATAATAAATACCTTATAACCCAGTCACCCCAGATTGACTACTGACATGATCTCTTTGCATCCTCATTTTTAAAAAAGATAAAATAATACGGATAAAGGTTGAACTTACTTGAGTCTTCTACTCTCAGACCCATTACTCTTTCATCTTTCTCAGACACTATTATCACAGCTGGGTATTCTCCCAGTCCATTGAGAAAAATTCTGTGTATTCACAATGTAATTGTATTATTTCATTTTGGTTTTTGATGAAAATAAGTGCTATTTTCTCTATCATTCTGTAACTTAATCTTTCCCTATATTTTTTGAGAACTGTCCATGTTTATGTATATTTACATCTAATTCCTTTCTTTTAGCTGTTAGGTAGTATTCTATTATATAATGTATATAGTATTTTACCATTCTGTTTATCCATTCTTCAATTAATGGACATTAAAACTTTATGGTTTTTCCTATTAGAAATATTGTATGTGTCTGTACACATGTGAATCCCTCTAGAACTGCACTGTTCAAATAAGTTAACTACAGGCCACACATATGTGGCTATTCTTGGAGTGTAGCTAGTTGGAATTAAGATGGGCTGGAAGTGTTTATGAGAGGGCCAGTTTCCCCATGTTATTGCCAATCCTTTACATTTTTAGACTTTTTAATTTTTTCTGGTCTTAGAAGAGAAGTACTTGCAATTTCCTTATTACCAGAAAGTATGAGGACTTTTTTAAAATATGGATTCTTGGTCATTCAAATCTTATGTGAATTGTATTTCTGTCTTCTTTCCAGTTTTCTATTGGATTGTTTTCCCTTTTCTTACTGATTTGTAATATTTAAAAATATATATTCTGAATACTATCCAAGTTTTTATGTGTTGCAGATATCTTCTTCCAGTCAGTCATTTCTATTTTAACCCTGTTTTTGTTACCTTAAGGTATTTTTCATGTTTCCATCTTTGATCACTTGAGTATAATTTTTTAAATATGTTATGAGGTAGGGATCTACTTTTATTTTTCTTCACAAGTGGACCAAGTTTTTGAACACCACGTGTTTCTTCATCTTTTTTTGACAGACTCATGATTCTGTTCTATGCTATAGTCAACAGGATGCAAATTCCCATTTATATAAGTCTGTTTCTGTAATCTGCTTGATCTGTCTTTTTAGAATTGTTGTAGGAATTTGTGGCCCTTTATTGGTTAATGAGTTTATCATGTTTGCCAGAAACTTCTGCTGAAGTTCTGAATGGAATTATGTTGACTTAATAAAGTATTCTTTTCTACAATTTTTTTTTAAGATTTTATTTATTTATTTGGCGGAGACAGATCACAAGTAGTCAGAGAGGCAGGCAGAGAGAGGAGGAAGCAGGCTCCCTGCCGAGCAGAGAGCCCAATGTGGGGCTTGATCCCAGGACCCTGAGATCATGAGCTGAGCTGAAGGCAGAGGCTTAACCCACTGAGCCACCCAGGTGCCCCTAAAGTATTCTTTTCAATGGCTCTTTATGCCTACTGTGTTTCAGCACCTCCCTGAGGTGTGAGAGATGATGAACATGACAAAAATCCACATCCTCAAAGTACTCACTACTTAGTGGGGAGAAAAACAGGGTAAACATGCATGCCATTGCAAAAAAAAAAAAAACAAAGAACAAAAGTATATACAAGTGCAAGGAGGTTGGAGAGCACTTAATCTTGGAGAGCTGCAAGCAATTTGATAAACCATGATCTTCATGAAAAAGATTGTATATATCTTACTCATCACTGTGTATCCAGTACCAGTACAGTGCCTGGTACCTACTAGACACCCCCAAAATATTAACTAAATAAAATATCCAAGATTGACAGCTTCAGGGTCCCCAAGCCTAGGGTGTATTTTGGGGCTGGCCAAGTCGGTCCTCTGTATGTTAATGATGAGAGATGGTAGAGTTTTCACATCAAATCACAAATGTATACTGGGAATTCCTCCAAAACAGAGACCATATCATTTATTTTTATATATCCAATGTATCCCCGTATGCAGAGAGTAGGAAAAATTGTTGAAGTTCAGTGAGTTCCTTTAGTGGGAATAATCAACTCTTAATTAATCTGAAGGCCTGGAGAGGTGACTCGGGACTCATCTTACCTTTTTCTCTCTTTAAAGCTATGGCACCATACTGAATGTGACCTGTGAGGAGTGCTTGACCTCTGGATGACCTTCACTAACTGTTACCACTGTCAAAGCAGTCTGCCCCACTGTGAGCACTCCATGACTGCTGGCTCATTGGAGGTCAGTTTTTATGGTCATTCATTCAGCAGACATTTGCTAATCTGTTTCTCCCTCTTACACTGAGGATACCGAAATGAATTAGACATGAAGTCTGTCCTCCAAGAGTTTACAGTTGATCAAGGGACATAAGATATATACCCAGATAATTACAACACAGAATCAAGAGGATGGAACTATTGCTTGAGATGGTTCAGGTGGAGGTGATATTTGAGCATCAAAGATGCATTCGATTTGACAAGTACAAAAGGGAAAGAGCATTCCAAACAAAGGCAATGGCATGAAGGATGTCCTCGAAATGGGGGTGAGGGGGAGAATTGGGGTGAGGGACCGGGGAAGGAACTAAGACCAAACATTATGGCCAAGAATTTATCAGGGGTCATGGACACATTCTCAGGAGCCAGATGGGTAACAAACATGGATAAAAAGGGCAGGGTATAAATATTTGGAGAGAGATCCCACCTAAAGGCATTCAGACAACTCTAAAATACCTCTAGCCAAGGAATTGTTGAAGCTAAATGATGGATGGGTAAGAGTCCACTATATTAACATGTGTTTTTGCATATATTTAAAATGTTCCGTGAAATTTTGGAAAACAACAAAGTACAAATATCCATAATGAACTTTCAATATTAAATAAAACAATGAGAGGTAAAATACATCCTCTGATGAAAGGAATAGGAGCAGATGAAGTAGAAAATGTAGAGCTCTCCATTATAGATGCTTTGAGGAGCTAAGCTGCGTTAATATTTATTAAGTACATACCATGTAAAAAGAGACTTGAATACATTGGCAAGCTATTAAATATTCCTAATAAGGGAGTAACAACGAAAAACAAATTTAAGATTGATTTTAAAGGGAAGACAAAAACTGATAGACCTGATATATAGTTGAACATTTGTTGTATTTTTGCTATGTGCTAGGTTCTAGGGGTATAAAGGTAAATGATTTAAGGCATAATTCATGCCCTGGAGACCTCACCTACATATAGACCAAATATTACCTTGCTAACATATTTTGTACTTGCCGCTCTGTTTCCCAGTGCTTGCATGCCAGTCATTTCACGTTTGTTGGAATCTCACCCCCTGGTCCAGATCTGTTCCCCACCCACTGCCCCCATAAGTCCATCATGGGAACTAGAAACACTCTGACTGACTGCTGCAAAAATTACCAGAAATCCAGACATGGCCAATTTTGTTTTTCTTTTGTTTTCTTCTTCAGTAGTAGCATGAGGATTTGTTCTCTTCTGGAAGCTGATGGGACCAAAACATAGGCAGTGCCAAAAGTGGTGACAGAAGAAATCTTGGGAGAAAGTAATTTTGTCTCCGACTTGGGACAGCTGCTGGGAACACCATGGCTCCTGTAAAGATTAGCCACGTGGTATCATTTTCCTCTCAGGTACGTTAATTAGGCATGATGTTTTTCTTGATGACTGAGAGCAGTGATAAAAATAGGAGACTTGGCTGCACTTTCAGGAAACCCCCAGTTTAACAGAAGGGACATATCCTATCTTTGGGGATCCAAAGTCAAAGGAGGACACACAGCCCTTGCCCTCAAGCTATTCCCAGAGTAATGCAGGATGCATAACAGAAGTGTTCCCAGGAATTAAAGGTAAAGAAGAGGAGGACATGGGGAGATGGAGAGGAGAAGTAAGTTGGGGGAAATTGGAGGGGGAGACGAAGCATGAGAGACTGTGGACTCTGAGAAACAAATAGGGTTTTGGAGGGGAGGGATTGGGGTGATGGGTGAGCCTGGTGGTGGGTATTATGGAGGGCATGTATTGCATGGAGCACTGGCTGTGGTGTATAAACAATGAATTCTGGAACACTGAAAAGAAATTATTAAAAAAAAATTTTTTTTAATTATAAACCAAAAAGCTTTGCACAGTGGCAGTATCGTAGCCAATGAGGTTTATCCGAGGTGTGATTATTGCTAATTGAAATTATAAACCAAAAAAAGGTAAAGAAGAAAGCAACCTCAGGAGTCCACCCTTAGTTTGAAGGGAACTGTCAAAACCATAAGCCCAAAGTCTATATCGGGGTCCCTAGAAGGGCAGTTTAATTACTCTATCATTGGGAGCAGACCAGGACATTCAAGGTCATTTCTGAGGTTATCACCTCAACCATCAAAGGTGATCTCCGGGATGCCTGGCTCGCTCAGTCAATTAAGTGTCTGCCATCGGCTCAGGTCATGATCCCAGGGTCCTGGAATCAAGTCCCGCATCAGGCTGCTTGCTCAATGGGGAGCTTGCTTCTGCCTCTGCCTGCTGCTCCCCCTGCTTGTGCATGCATTCTTTCTCTACCTTCTCTCTCTCTCACAAATAGATATATAAATAAAATCTTAAAAAAAAAAAAAAAAAAAACTCAGCCTCCTCCCTAAAAGTTCACTTTCAGGAAATCGCAGTTATCCCAGTTAGATCTAGGTGCCGGCGCCCGGGCTCAGGATTGATCCAAAGGGCTGATTCTTAGGGACTTGCCACCCTTTCATCTCCTGCCATTTCTATCCATTTATCCTTTCTTCCCATTCCTCCCCTTCTGTTTACCCTAGTCTTTCTCAGAAGGTACCTCGGCACTTTGGGTGGGTAAGTCAACATCTGTAGCAGTGTCATTTGCCTGGTGGGCTATTTAGCATCCATGGGCTCCAGATCCTGATGACAATGATGCTTTCTGGTCATTATGACAGTCGAAAACATCCCCACTCATTTCAGAAAACCCCTAAGAGAGTCTTTGGGAGGGGCGCCTGGGTGGCTCAGTGGGTTAAAGCCTTTGCTTTCGGCTCCTGGGGTCTTGAGATGGAGCCCCACATGGGGCTCTCTGCTCAGCGAGGAGCCTGCTTCCTCCGCCCCTGCCCCACCTGCCTCTCTGCCTACTTGTGATCTCTGTCAAGTAAATAAATAAAATCTTTAAAAAAAAATTAACCATATCCTTCTTACCTACATAGTCAGCCTAAATGGTTTTCTTCATACACTGAGCCTTCTAAAATGCCAGAGGTGATTACTTACCACCTAATACTGAGGTTTTCAAACTGCACTCTACAGGCACCCACTTCTGGAAATTGAAGGCAGGCGTTCATATATGTCTCTAGGCCCCCAGCTTGTTTTTTAACCAGAGCTCTGTTTTCATTTGTTGAAAATAAACATACACACACACACACACACACACACACACACACTTTAGTTTAAGATTTCAGTTAAGAGGACGGATTTTATTGCTAAAACAAAATGAAAACCATGAATATAGTCTCCCTCCTCTTTACTTATAGATGAAGAAATTTAAATGCAGAGAGAGAAAATAGTTTGCTCAGGGTCCTTCCACAAAAAAAAAATACCTAACTTTGGATTCGAACCGAGAATGGCTCTCTTGGTACTGCTGTTGTTGCCTTTGAACAAATCACTTGATTTCTAACCATCAGTTGTAAACTTAGAATAAAAATCCTTGCCTTACTTTTCTCATGGGGTTACTTTGAAGATAAATGATGTCTGTGAAAGCACCTTATAAATGAAAATTGTCTAGTGTGGTGGTTAAGGGCCCTGGATTCAAAGACCTAGGTGTTCTGAGGTTAGTCGGTTATTTAGCTCTTGTAGCCTTGGGTAAGTTTCTGAACCTAGGCTTCAGTTTATTGATCATTTAACAAACTAAGAAGCAATAATGTTAGGTAAACTAAACAGTAAACTAAAGTGTTAAGAGGATGAAATGCGACAGTTTGGTAGAAGGATAGTTGAAAGGTCTGTAAATCCCCTGGCACATGATAACTCCTATCTAGTATCTTTCTGTCAAGTTAAAATGCCTGGAAAGGTTTGGGAATGTAGGGATCCCTCCTCTTGGGCATCCTCTTTAGCCTTTGGCTCAGTGAAGGTCCTGATGTTCTCCTTCTCTCTCTGACTTAGGATCCCAAGTATCCTGTGGAGAACTTGCTGAACCCAGACAGTCCAAGGGGACCTTGGCTCAGCAGTCCTCAGGACAAGAGTGGGCAACTGAAAGTAGAACTCCAGCTGGAGAGGGCAGTGCCCATTGGCTACATTGATGTGGGTGAGTGAGTTCTCAGAGCTCTGGAAACCTCTGCGAGAGACACGGGAGTAACATTGCCCTCCAAATGCTCCACCAGAGTGTCCCAGTTCGGTCTAGCTGAGCACCTTTCATGGAATAAGCCCTTCCTGGTGTGAAGTGAGATGTGGCCTTGCTCTTGGGACAGGTGTATGGTGTTGGCAAATTCTGAGGGTTCTGTTCACATAGAATGAAATGGGGATAGCATTCCCTGATTTCAGCAATGTACCTGCCCTGCTTTGATCTGAGCAGGCTGGGTGAAGCCTTAGGACGCTGACATAATTATAAGTGCCGACAAATACAGCCTGTCTACACCTCTAAATATCATTGTCAAGAGCATGCTGGGGGATGAGCTCTGCACGCCAATCTGGGAAGGCTCCATAGGAATTTATGTGTTGAGAAGGTTGACCTTAGAGTTCTCTGGAGTAGAGAACTGACAAAGGCCATTGGTCTCAGCTCTGTCAGGATAGAGAGATGTCAGGCTCCTTAGCAGAGTAGAGACAGAGATTAGCATTGCCTGCCAGAGCCAAAGGACAGAGAAGCAGCAAGTCTACTGAGTCAGGGAAGGTTTCTGGCTGGGAGGACCACCGTGAACCTTCATCTCGTCTTTCTGTGGACTGAGGTCTCATCCACTTGAGTTGCTGGCTCTGTGCTCCTTGACCTTTCTGGGCCAACTAGCTCTAGAAGGGAAGAATGTCTTTTTCCCACCCAATTCCTTATACACTGTCAGGGGAACATCTTCCCATTACCTTTAAATTCTTCTCTTAACCTTTTGTCCCCAGGTAACTGTGGCTCTGCTTTCCTGCAAATTGATGTGGGCCGTTCTTCCTGGTCCCTGGATAGACCTTTTGTCACCCTGCTCCCTGCAACCATGCTAATGTCCCTAGCCGACTTAAAGCAGGGGAAAAACCGCTCAGGCGTCCGCATGTTTAAAGATGGTAAGGAGAGATCTTGGGTGGCTCAGTTAGTTAAGCGTCTACCTTCGGCTCAGGTCATGATCCCAGGGTCCTGGGATTGAGCCCCATAGCGGGCTCCACATTCGGCGAGGAGTCTGCTTTTCCCTTTCCCTCTGCTCCCCCTGCTCGTGCTCGCTTGCTGTCTCTCAAATAAATTAATAAAATCTTGACAAATAAAAATGGTAAGGGAGGCAAAAGCAGAAATGGGAGAGAGACTGAACAAGAGAGTTTATGAGAAAGAGATCCAGTGATGTGAAGCTAGATGAGTCACTATAGAGGGCCATGGAGCTGGGCTGGTAGGTAGGTTTGTGAGAGGGGTCTGTGCAGGAGCTCGGTTATATCTGTGGGGCATGGGGGGAGTAGTGAGTGAACAGCTGTATGGTATGTTTGTGTATGAGTTCTCTGTGATGAGAATAGGTGATAACTGGGAATATTTATGAGCTGATCTATACTGACACATAACATGATTCGGTGGAGCCTGAGGTAGAACTCTTCTTTGTGAGTAGTGTTTGTATTTGTATAAATGTACATGAGTGTGAGTACAGTTGTCCGCCCCTCCCTGCCCCTCATCCACGGTTTCGCTTTCCACGGTTTCAGTTACCTGCAGTCAACCACAGCCCAGAAGCACATGATGCTCCTTCTGATGCAGTGTCAGAAGGTCAAGTAGTAGCCTAACTGTCACAGTGCCTAGCTACATCAGTCACCTCACTTCCTCTCACCTTGTAGGCATTTTATCATCTCACAGCGTCACAAGAAAAGGGGAAAGTGTACAGTGAGATATTTTGAGAGAGAGAGAAGGAGACCACATTCACATAACTTATTAAAGTATATTGTTATAATTGTTCTATTTTATTAGTTGTTGTTAACCTGTGCCTAATTTAGAAATTCAACTTTATCATAGGTATGTAGGTATAGTGGAAAAACAGTGTGTACAGGGTTTGGTACTATCTGTGGTTTCAGGCATCCACTGAGGGTCTCAGAACATGTGCCCTGCAGATAAGGATGGACCACTGAATAAGTGGTAGTGGAGAATAATGTTTATGTAAGTGATGGAAGGCTATCGGGTGGATATAATGAGGCGGTGCCCAGTGTTTCCTGAGTTCCAGTCAATGCAGATCTGTGTTCACTAGGCACTGCAGAAGAACATGAGACCTGATTCTTGGCCTCTGGGGATTTAGAGTCTAGTGAGGATTTGTCCACATTGACAATGGAGGTGTTTGTAATGTTGTGAGGGAAGACTGATACGGGAGGGGTACCTAAGGTGCGGGAGATGAGGTACTACCAGACAGCACTGGGAATTAAAGGCGAGAAGGGTTTGTGGTACTGGTATATCATACTGGGAGTGAGTCTGGAGACCACAGAGTGCTGTGGAGGAGGCTGAGATCTCATGGTCCAGGAAGGGTAGATCCAGCTCAGCCAACGTACCAGGAAGGGGTCAGCTCAGACCCCAACTCTGCAGGTATCTCCTGTCAAAATGAGACATTGAGAGACCTCTCCTGGAGAGGTGCAGAATGAGGATGTGCTTGTACTGGGCACAGTGTGGAACCCTGACAGAGAAGGGTGAATGTGGGAAGGTGAGGCATTGGGCATGAGCACACCTTGCCTGGCCTGCTCGGCACTGCCAGACCCCGAGCACCGAGGCCCAACGGGCCAGTTACTCGTGACCTCCATTCTTCCTTTTGTTGGAGTTTACCAACAAACTGGAGTTGTTGGAGTTTATGGTCCGTCTTTTCTTTCCTCTCCCCAATATTGACCTTCTCGTCCCCAGTAGTGACCTTCTTGTCCTCTCTCCCCTCCGTACATGCATTTCCTGTCCCTTTCATTTTCTTTCTTTTTCCCTCGAGATGATTTCCTGGCGCCAGCCTCAGGTGAGTCATGGGATCGACTTCGCCTGACCTGCTCCCAACCCTTCACACATCAGCAGTCTTTTGGCCTGGCCTTCCTCCGGGTGTGTTCCTCCCTGGACTCCTTAGATGACCCTGTGGGAGGTCCCTCGGCCCCTGAGAGCTCTAGACTGAGCCAGGTATGTACAATGATGGAACAAGGACTTCATATTTTTCCACTTTTTTTTTTCAGTTTCTGGTTAGAAAGCTGGTGCTTGATTGAGGGATAGACACTCACATGCTCAAATAAAAATATAAATGGGCTTGCTACTCTTTCTTACAGGTAAGAGTGAATGCCCGTCCTCCCCTTTCACCTGTGGGAGAGTCAAGAGAGCAAGGCTTCAGTACAGTGTCACAGCTATTGGACCACTTGTTCTTTAGCAAGAATGAAGTCTCTTTTTGGATTCAAACTTAATCTCATACTTTAGGTGTAGGCTCCTGTGGGCCATGGCTTTCACCAGACTTTTCCTTCTGGCACCTGCAAGTAAGTGAGTCCCAGGGCTCACTTACTGTCTCTCTGTCATTGTTGTTGCCTGACCCACCTGCCAGAAGAGCCAGTTAGAATCTCAGATACATGCTCTGCGATTTCATCTGTTTTCCTGCCTTCTCCCTGTACAGCACACACATACTGGTAGATAAGATGGATAAGTCTCTGGTCAGTGTACCTCCCCTCTTCTCAGCTAGTTTTCTAGTTATTTTTTTTCCTCCTAAACCCATTCAGACTTTTCCTGATTTCTTGTCCCTGGTGTCTTCATTTACCTTTCCAGTACCCTCCATCATAATTCCCTCCAAACAAGTACAAAGACAGAATCACACAAAGCTAGAGTCAGAGAATTCTAGAGGTGAAAAAATACAGAGAGATCATCAAGACCCATTCTGCACTTCATTCTACGTCAGCTAGGGAAACTTCCATATTCAAATTCACACAGTGAATCAGAGCAGAGGAGGAACTAGAAATCAAGTCTCCTGTCATGTACCATAGCGCTTCCTATGCACACACTGCGTCTTTAGAAGCTCCAAACATCTGACATAGCCAAAAGATAAGCCCCTGGAGTCAATGTCACAGCTGTCATTCCCGTCGAGGTTACTGAGAAAGACAAGAGACTGGACATTGGGAAGAGAAAACGAAGGAGGAGTTGCTTTTGCCATACAGCCTCAGGGGAGACCCAGAGAACTGAGACAAAGTAAAGCCTGGTCTGAGATTTCCTCCTCCTTCCCTGGAAGGGTTAAAAATCTGCAGCAAGACCCGTGGAAGCATTTCCAGTACTCTGCTGATTCCAGCTCTGCAGCGACCAGGCCTGAGTGAGTGGAGATACAACCCCAGGGCCTGGCCTGTCTCCCATCAAACTCAAGCTCTGCGAGATTAGGAACCTGTTTGTCTTGTTCCACACTGATTCCTGGCAGCTAGCACAGAGCATAGAACAAAGTAGGCTTTTTGAATAACTCACCGTTCAGGGGAAAGTTGTAGATAGGAACGCCATAAAATTTACCATCCAAACTCAGAGTCCCTTGGAATGCAAAAAAAAGAGTGCTGTGAATTTTATCAAGACAGCAGTATCGTCCCAAGCAAACCAGGACATGTGGTCTCCCTAATTATGGGCTATCACAAAAAATCATATCTCCCTAATATGGCCATCTCATTACTCTGCACCTTTAAGACCCTGCTGGGATCGAGGAGGGAGTCAGCAGCTCCAAGCCATAATGTCAGAAAGGCATTGAACATTTACAGCAGAAGCAAACATATTGCACACACCTCACATATATATGCACATATATTGTATGCAAACATACTGCACACACCTCAGTGAAACTACGGGCAAAGAGATCCCAAAACATTTCCACAAGAGAGGGTTGGCACATGGAAACGTGAGTGGTAGCACTCAGTTTTGTTATTTAAGATTTCTAAAATTCCATAGGCTTTTTTCCTACTGTGTTGTAATAATGGTGTATGATATAATAGTGTATGATAGTGATAACAAAACATAAGGGCTTTTAGGTCTGTGAAATACGGTCTTTTGTGGCACTGGTTTTCCAGTTAGGAAACAGAAGCACAGAGAAACTTGATGAGATGCCCCAGGTTACATGGCTAAATAAGTCTTGGAGTGGATTTGAACCCAAGCCACCTGACTCCTAACTTAACCTGTGCTTAGGAGCCCAATTCCTAATCTCACTTAAATAAACCATCTCTCCACATCCATCCAGTTGTGCTTTCAAGTAGCATTCACTGTAAAATTTATGAGACAAGGTAAAGAAAAAACAAAAACCCTGGAAAATTATTTCAAAATTACTGCTAGGTCCAAAATGAGACTGTAATGGCACTTATAAAATATTAAACAGTAAATGTGATTACTTAAATAAGCTGTGAATGTGAATAAAAATACTACTTCTCGTACTTAGAGAATGAGACCAAGATCATGCTTTATAAGAAAGATGTTTACTTTTAAAAGAATCTGTGATAGGGGCACCTGGGTGGCTCAGTCAGTTAAGCATTGGACTCTTGATTTCAGCTCAGGTCTGGATCTCAAGGTCATGGAGACAATATAGGAATTAGGAATATAGGAATTAAACCCACATTGGGCTCCATGGTAGGCAGGGAGCCTAGTTAAAAACTAATTAACTAATTAACGAATTAATTTAAAAAGATTAAAAAGAATCTGTGATAGAAGTATCTGAACTGCAAATTAAAGACAAAAATCCTTAGTTCTTTTAAATTCAAGGGAAAAAGGAAATTTGGGAAAAAAAGGAAATAGGTACAGATGAATTGACAGAGATAAATTGAATATTGACAAGATAGAAACTGTGGCACATACCACATAAGTCAAATCTATGTAGAAATGATCTGTTGTGTGATTATCACATGTAGACATTGAAGTAGAGAGGTTTATGAAATGCCTGGGATAGTTACATATAGTGGCTAGTGCTAGTGGCTAGGCTAATACTTGTATCTATATACGCATATACACATACATACATACACATATCTTTCTATCAGTGACTAGAAATGGTGGCCAAATTGGTAGGTTTGTAGTTGCAGGTGAACAAAATAGTTCACAAAAGAAATTGTACTGGAAATTGAACAATATTACTACATAATATTTAGAAAAGAAAAATGATAAGAATGTCCCCAAATAGTTCAAAAGAGAACTTTCAATATAGACAAACATATGGGTATACTTAGTTTCTCTCACATAGGTGTATAGAGATAAGTGGTTTGAATTTTGTACCTACAGGAATCAATTTTACATATGCACAGATTGAAGCTGCATATATCTATATTTATATTATATTATATATTATAATATATTATTTATATTTTGAAAGCATATGTATGCTTTCAAAAGTTTGCACATGATTATCAGTCCCATGGCCCCATTTTTCCCGACAGCATGTATTTGATCTTTCAGGATTATGACTAAATCCGTAGCATTGGGAAACTAAGTATACAAAATTACTGAATCTCGTATCTTGCAGCTGGGAGAGAGTGCGCTCACCAGCAAATGTACCACATAAAGTTATGCCGAATATACATACTTGTTAAGCGGAAGCCCTCAGGTTTGGGAATATCCCTGGTACTAGGTGGCAGTGCCCCCTGGTGGTGAATGTCTGTAGTTCATACTTCTCCATTTTCTTCTCAGGGCTCTGATGGTCAGGAGTCTAGTCCCAGCCCCTGGCTGGCTAATCCTTCCATTCGGAGGACATTCTTCCCAGATCCCCAAACGTACGTAGCTACCAGAATGGAGGCCTCTTGTCCACTTCTCAGTTCTTTCTCCTGAAAAAAAGAAAAGCTACCGAGTCACTCACAGGCACTCACTTCCTGCTTTCTCCCCACTTGATCACATCCTCTAGACCTAACCCTATCTGTATATCAAACTGGCTTTCTTGGTCAGATGCCACTGACTTGAGGGAGCAGAATGGGGTCTCTGTTCCTAATGAAACCGAGTGATGTCTGTGTCCCTGCAGGAGCACCAAGGAAATTTCAGAGCTTAAGAATATCCTAAAGCAGCTGCAGCCAGGGCCTTTGGGCCGTTCAGCCCGAATGGTGCTTTCAGCTGCCCGGAGGTTCCCCCCCACAAGCATGGCAAGCAGGAGAACCAGCCCTTCAGAACCAGGTCCTAGTCAGCCAGCCAGCACAGGTGAGTCCCACCACCTGCCTTTGGGTCCTCACTCTCTCTAGCACCATCCTTTCTCCCAGAATCCACCGCTGCTATACAAGGATGCCTTACCAATAGGACTTCATGTGGGAGAACAGACAGTTGTCAGTGTGTTGTTACCGGAAGAGAAATCAAATATTGTATGGTATTGGCCTCGAAATCAGGAATCCTTATTTCTTTGGGCCTCAATTCCCTCATCTTCAAAGTAAAGGAATTAAACCACATAGTATATTGGCAGTATTAATGTTGCAGTATTAATGTTTTGTGATCACTTTGGTAGGACGGTTAAGTCAGGGTGGTGGTGTATGGAGCTTAATGGGGGAAATAAAGTAAGGGAATAGCACTGTTTTATCACAGAGGAAGAAAGGATTAAACACGTCAGAGCTCCTACTTTGCACCAGACATTGCTAAGGCACTTTTACTAACTTAACTATTACTTAACTATTTATAGTTTATAAATTTTATATTTTATAATAGTTACCTATTACTTAACTATTTAATGTTCATAACAAACTTATGAAGTAGATACTGTTACAGTTACACTCATTTTATAGAAGAATCTGAGGTTCAGAAAGTTTCAATATTCTGAGTCACACAGCTAATAAGTGGCAAATCCAGGATTTGAACCCCGCGGTTCTTGGTTTTACCTGGTCTAGACAACAAAAGAGAGAACACGTAGAGTTCTCATTGAAAATCTTTGGTTTCACTCATTGCTTCATTGGGAAAATTTTTTAAAAGGAAACAATTTATCTGTCATTTTAAAGAACTGAATAAATTACTGAAATAATAAGTATGTTGTCTCATTGCAGAAATAGGGTACATTGGTCACCTATGGTTGCATAAACAATTTTCCCCACAATTTGGTAGCTTACAACAATATTTATGATTTTGCAATTTCTCATAGTTAAGAATCTGGACCTGGCTTACCAGCATCCTCTGGGTCCAGATCTGACCCAAAGCTACAGTCACGGCAAGGCTCCGCTGGAAATGATCTGCTCCCCAGCTATTTCCATGGTGCTTAGTAGGAACCAGTTCATCATGGGCTGTTGGACTAAGGCTTCCCTCACCTTCTTCACCATGGGAGCCTCTCCCTGGAGCATCTCATAGTGAAGCTGGCTTCATCAGAGTGCGTAAACTAGAGAGCGAGAGAGAGAGGGCTAGCAAGAAGTCAGTCAGTCTGGGTCGCCTGGCTGTCTTGGTCAGAATAGCATAAGACTCTTAATCTGAGGGTTTGAGTTTGAGCCTCATGTTGGGCATAGAGATTACTAAAAAATAAATAAGCTTTAAAAAAAAAAAGTAAAAAGAAAGAAGTCAGTCTTTTAGAACCTGATTACAGGAGTGGCAGCCCATCACTTTTGCCGTATTCTGTTCATTCAAAGCAAGTCGTTAGATTCTGCCTAAATTCAGTGGGAGGAGGAATCAATAGGAGTCATTTCAGAAGCTGTCTACATGAGGAAGGAGGTAGTTTATTATTTTAAGAGACAGAAAATGGGAACTAACCTTTTGGGGTCACCCAGTCAGGGCACTGGAGCTATGAAAGCACCTTCAAAAATATTAAATCCTATATAAAGTGTTTTGGAAGTTCTGAATGGCTAGACAAATGGTTGTTGCTGGGGTTTTTTGCCACTCATTTGATAGATATTTATTGAACATCTCTATGTGCAAGGCTCCGTGCTAGGTGTCAGGGATGCCACAGTAAATAAAATAGCAGTGCTTTTACCCTTACTGAGAGACTTCTCCATGCCATACAAGTAAGTCTAAAACTTCAAGTCTAATACTGTGATAAGTATTTCAAAGGCAAAGAAAGCGTGGGACGCCTGGATGGTTCACTTGGTTCCGCACCTGCCTTCAGCTCAGGTCATGATCCCAAGGTCCTGGGATCGAGCCGCATGTTGGGCTCACTGCTCAGTGGGGAGCCTGCTTCTCCCTCTCCTCTGCCCCTTTCCTCCTGCTCATGCTCTCTATCCTTCCCTTAAATAAATAAAGTCTTAAAAGAAAAAAACAAGAAGGAACATCATATATGATGCCTTTTTGTTAATATGCTAGATTTAATGTGTACTTCTAACACAGAGCTCAGACCAGAGGAGCAGAACTCAGAGAATCATGTGGGCAGGACAAAGAGACGGAAAGTACAAGCCCGCAGGTGAGTAGGTCAGCCTGAAAGACCCAGATCACCTCCCCAAACCTTATTCCCCTTCTATACCTGTCATTCTTCCCCCACTTGTGTCTTAGTTAGGTCAGAGCACCCTTGTGTCTGTATGTTGATCTCAGGGTCTGGACCTAAAGTGTAAATAGAGAAAAGATGTCCTTGTCCACTTGTTGCCAGTTAAATAAGGTGGGAGCTCTTTGGTGAATTAGAATCTGAATATAAGTACATTGTATCTCATGGACTTCATTAAACTTGAAATCTTTTTATGTTTCAAAGAACACTGTCAAGAAAATAAAAAGAACCCACATAATATGTGAGAAAATATTTGCATATCATATTTAATATTGGACTTGTTTCTAGACTACATAGAGAATGCTTACAACTCAACAATAAAAAGAAAACCTAATTTTTAATGAACAAAAGATCTGAATAGACTTTTCTCCAAAGAAGATATAGGAATGGCCAATAAGCACATGAAAAGAATGCTTAATATCATTAGCCATCGGAGAAAAGCACATCAAAACCACAGTGATCACACCCAGTATGATAGCTGTAATGAAAAAGAGAATAGCAGGGGTACCTGGCTGGCTCAGTCAGTAGGCCATGCAACTCTTGATCTCTAGGTCATGAGTTCAAGCCCCATGTGGGTTGTAGATCTTACTTTAAAAATTAAAATTAAAAAAGACAATAACAAATGTTGGCAAGGATGTGGAGAAATTGGAACTCTCATACACTGCTGGTGAAAATGTAAAATATTATAATCACCCTGATACACTCCGGCAGTTCATCAAAAAGCTAAACATAGTGTTACCGTATGATGCAATAATTCCATTCCTAGGAATAGGCCCCAAAAACTGATAACGGGTGCCTGGGTAGCTCAGTCGGTTCAGCGTCTGCCTTGGCTCAGGTCATGATCTCAGGGTCCTGGGATTGAGCCTTGAGTCAGGCTCCCTGCTCAGCGGGGAGCCTTGCTTCTCCCTCTCCCTCTGCCTTTCCCCTCCCCCACTTGTACTTCTCTCTCTCTGTCTCAAATAAATAAATAAAATCTTAAAAAAGAACTGATAATTGGGGTTCACACAAAAACATATAGACAAAGGCTCATAGCAGCATTATTCACGATCGCTGATCAGTTCAAGTGTCCATCAGCTGATGATCAGATAAACAAGATGTGGTCTATTCCTACCATAGAATATTGTTCACCCATGAAAAAAGAATGAAGTACTGATGCAAGCTCCAATATAGATGCATCTTGAAACAAGCTAGGTGACAACAGTCAGTCCATAGAGGCAGAAAGTAGATTAGTGGTTTCGAGGATCTGAGGCGGAAGAGAGGTGGGGATAGTGACTACTAATGGGTTTAGGATTTCCTTTTGGGGTGATAAAAGTGTTCTGGAATTAGATAGTCACGGTAGTTACACAACCTTGTGAATATCCTAAACCTGTTGAATAATATACTTCAATAGGATGAATTTTATTGGATATGCATTATATCTCAATTAAAAAATCATTTAAAAAACCTGAAAGCAATAATAGAACTTCTGTTCTCAGATGTTCAAGGTTAAATGACTTCCCTGAGGTTGGATACCTCAAGTGGGAAAACCAGGACTCCAGCCAGAGCTTCTGGCTCCGCATCAAGGAGTCCACACTCTTCCATCCAAACTCAAGGCTCCTTCATCCCTTGTAGCCTCTTACTAATAGCTAGTCTTTAACTGTTCTTTCTCACAGGACTTTATCCAGCTCGAACTCACGGCCCAACCAGCGGGGGATGGCAAAAGCACGGCAGAGAGAATGCCACCGACGCCAGGCCCAAAGCAGTGGGGTCCAGAATACTGCCCTGTGCCCCATTTGTGCAGGTGAGCTGCTGGGGCCCAGGCGTTATTGTGGGACTACTACTTGCAGGAGGACTAGGAGACCTGGGAACACTGCCAGGGAACATTCAAGCTTGGAACCCAGTCTTCTCCACAGTTACATACAAGTCGGTTTGGAGTACATGCTTATATTATACTGTCTGAGCTGAGGAAGGGACACGGGCCCTGTCCCCAGGGGAAATATGAAACAATAGGTAATACTGTCAGAGAGGGCCTAGCATTTCCTTCCCACCTCTTTCCCCCGTGTCCCAATTCTCTAAGTCCCTATTCAAATGGTTCTTGTTTACCAGGTCTTCTCTGATCTTGTCAGCTCATCTTTCCCAGCTGGACCAGCGGTGTTCTCAGATTGCCTTACACTTAGCCCTTCTCACTTCTGTGTTGTATCACAATCACTTGTGGCCATAGTTTATCTTTACACCTGAACTCTACAATTCAGAAGGAGAGGCCTAGGTTTCCGCCCCCCAGCTCCCGGCACAGTGTAAGGCCTACAGGAAACCCTTGATAAATGTTTGGCCGATTCATGACCAGACAGTGTCTGGTGTAGGATATCGAGCCAGAACAAATTTCCCACAGAAACAGCTGCACTGGGGTGGCATCGTGCCTGGCAGCTGGACCAACTTTGCTAACCTCCTTCTCTCCCCCTTAGGCTCCTTCAGTGTTGAGGTTCTTCCCCAGCACGCTGCCACGTGTGGAGAGATCTCCCCACCTCAGCCAGCCTCTCCCTCCTCATCACCATCTTCGTTGCAGTCTGTACTGTGGGTATCCTCCCCAGAGAGCTCACCACCTGCTTCCTGGGTCCAGTGCCCTCTCTGCCAGTTGTACTTCTCAGCAGGAGAAGTAGAAGAACATGCCAGCATGTGTGGGGAGACTCCTCAGACATGAGCCATGAGGTGCTGTGGTTTTGGTCCCCCTGCCATCTGTGACTAACACTGGGGAGTGGAGCTCATGACAGCTGAGAAGAGCCGATAAGGGCAAGCTGTCCTCTCCCCTTCTTTGCACTCATTCCCTCGGTACTCTGTTTGAGGGCACCTCTGGGCCCAGCCTACTCTCTACTCCCAGTTGTCAAGGCTGCTGTCACCATGGCACCCTCTTCTCCCAAGACAGCTCCATCCTTTTCCCCTCTGGAACTTCTGGGGTAGAACTGGTGATCTCTCTAGGGCTTTGGGACATAATCCAGAACGCCTTCCTCTCAGTGAGTGATGCACATCCTCGTGCCCATTTTCCTGGAAGGAAAACTGAGACTGAGTGAAATAAAAGCACTGCCTAGCAGATAAGTCTTGTGATATACTTGGAAGTCAAGAGTGATTTTTGAGCATGAGACTAACCTCCATCATCCCATGACCTTAACTCCCAGTACCCTGTGTGGGTTCCCTCCCTAGGTACGATCAGCTAACAGTGTTACTGTGTGACTTGAAGCAAGTTCTTCATCTTGGACCCAGAATTAACCCTCAGTAACAGAAAACCCCCATCCTCCTACTTGCAGAGCCATTCAAGGCATCAGATGGGTTGATGACTAAGGAATGGGTCTAGGCTCGGCTGCGGAACCTTGGGCAAATCCCAATCCCCATCTGTACAATAAGGCAGTTGGACCAGAGGGTCTCTAAGGTCTGCTCCACCTGTGACATTCTCAGTTCTATTCCCACCTTTCTTGAGCAACTATGTCCTCTCCCCTTTCCCAGAAGTTTCCACTGTGTGGTATTCAACAGTTCCTCTGGTCTCCAGGGTACAGGGCAGAGGGGGAGCAGCTGGTCCTGGCAAAGGGAGGGCCCAGGGCGGGGTTTTGAACTTGAAGGTAGGAGGAAGGAAGCTGGGCACAGTCAGGGGAGCAGACAGAGCAGGAGTTAAGTCCTTTCGTCCCTACCAGCATAGGAGGGTGCAGCCATGGACCTCCTCACGGTAAGAGGCCTGCTCTCCCACTTTCCCTTAAACTGCTCCCATTTCTGGCCATAATTGATACAGCCACAGGGCAGAGAGGAAGTCCTAGCTGCCATGAAGGTGATGGATATTGCTTCATTGGTGGAAGAGAACCCCTGGAGCCCCAAGCCTGGGCCCAGAGAGAAGAGTAGTGGCGGGGGCAGGGGTGCTGCTAGGCTTGGTACAAGAGAGGGATGAGACAGCTCTGAGGTACAGGTGCCATCCAAAGTAGGAGAGGACAAAGCAAGGGAAGGTTGGTGGGGGAGGAGCATTAGGATCTGCTAGGAGGCCTGGATAGAGCTGAGGGGAGGGGAAAGCCCAGGTCAAAGACCCTCCTGCATGGACATGTCTGGACCTGTCTTTCAGAGGCTCTGGGACTCTCAGAGGGATGAGCAGCTGGGAGATGAAGTCAACAAAATGGGAGCTGGGTCCTGGGCAGATCTGGCATTAGACTCCCTATGCAGCCCTGTCCACCGCTTTAACCTACCCTTTCTCAGGGTACCCACATGGGCCCACTGTGTTGGGTTCCTGGGAGGGTGGCAGCTGTAGGGAGGAAGGGGGCCCCTGGCCAGACCCAGACCTGGACCTTCCTCACCTAAGAATCTACACAATAAAATGGTGACTAAGGAAACGTTTGTAATCTTCAGTGCTGCTGGTGTTGAAGATGGAGAAGGTGGCCATAAATGAAGGAATGTGTGGAACATAGCTCTAGAAGCTGGAATCGGATTCTCCCTTAGAGCTACCCTGTCCTGCCGACACCTTGACTCTCTAGCCCAATGATACTGATTTCCGAGTTCTAACCTCTAGAACAGTAAGAATAAATTTGTATAGTTTTGAGCCAATTTTTTTTAAAGAAAATGATGCTTTTTTCAACTAAGACTCATTTTCTAAATACTAGTATTTCAGTAAAAGGGTTATTTATTAACAACTTAACAAATCTATACAAGAAGCTATTATTATGGTATGAAAGGGTGTTTCCAAAGTGACTGATTCCTAGAAAATATGGAAATGAAATTTATCCCCTACACAGACGTAATCTTTTGGGGAATATTCATATTGTCGTTATGTAAGGTGATTACATTGGATAAACCATATATACCAGAGTATAGGATGTATATTTGATGTAGAAATTAATTTCAGAGTAATACATAGCTAAAGGTGGTAGCATTGTTGTTTTTCCTTCTTAAAAGAAAAAAATGGATTTTTTTTTTACATTATTATATTCCACATTTTGGGTGTTTTGAATTAGTAAAGATTCCAGAAATCCAAAACTAGTAATAATTCCTATTTGAGTTACAAAGTAGCATCAAGGGGAGTTAAGAACACCAGCTCCTCAGCCAGACTGCCTGGGTCCCCATCTCATGTAAGTGGCTTAGCATATCTGTACCTCAGTTTCCTCTCCTGTTGAAGGGGGCATGATCACTCCTACCTCACAGGGTTAATGTAATGAGTGAGTTGCTGTACTTGGGAAGTGCTCAGAAATGTAGCATATCTACTACATTAAGTGTACTTCAACATGTTCGTATGTGTTTGGGCAAAAGCAAAATAGTATGGTGTCTAGGCTGAGGGCTGAAAGGTGGAAGGACAAGGGAGGCCCCAAAGCAAAGTGGAGATGGGTGGGTCCCACACAGGGGTCCCACCCTCTCCGTCCTTCATCCAGCCACAGCCCACCTGGACGGAGATTGTGAACAAGAAGCTGAGGTTCCCACCTCCACTCCTGGCGGCCATCCAGGAGGGGCGCCTGGGCCTAGTGCAGCAGTTGCTGGAGTCGGGAGTCGAAGCATCAGGCAGTGGGCAAGGTGGGCCCCTGAGGAACGTGGAGGAGGCTGAGGACCGCTCCTGGAGGGAAGCTCTCAATCTGGCCATCCAGCTGGGCGACGAGGCCATCACTGATGTGCTGTTGACCAATGTCAAGTTTGACTTCCGGCAGATCCACGAAGCCCTGCTGGTGGCAGTGGACACAAACCAGCCGGCCGCGGTGCGGCGCCTGCTGGCCCGGCTGGAACGGGAGAAGGGCCCCAAAGTGGATACTAGGTCCTTCTCACTGGCCTTCTTTGACTCATCAATCGATGGCTCGCGCTTTGCTCCTGGTGTCACTCCCCTCACCCTGGCCTGCCAGAAGGACTTGTATGAGATCGCCCAGCTGCTCATGGAGCAGGGCCACACCATTGCCCGGCCCCACCCGGTCTCCTGCGCCTGCCTTGAGTGCAGCAATGCCCGCCGCTATGACTTGCTGAAGTTCTCCCTGTCCCGCATCAACACCTACCGCGGCATGGCTAGCAGGGCCCACCTCTCGCTGGCCAGTGAGGATGCCATGCTGGCTGCCTTCCAGCTCAGCCGGGAGCTCAGACGTCTTGCACGCAAGGAACCCGAGTTTAAGGTCGGCTTCTCATACTCCTTCCTGCCCTTGGTCCCTCATATCTGTCCTTTCACACGGGCAGGGTGTGGTGGGGGTTCTGGGGAATGGAAAACAACAAAGATGATGAGGCCTTGTTCTGTTCTCAGTAACCCTCCATTTTGTTATTGTTGTTGTTTTAAAAAAGATTTTATTTATTTGAGACAGAGCACAAGCGGGGAGGAGGATCAAGAGAGAGGGAGAAGCAGAATTCCCCACTGAGCAGGGGGCCCATGTGGGGCTCAATACCAAGACCCTGAGATCAGGACCTGCATAACCCTCCACTTTGATGGGGAGTTACAGAATCCCACCCTGAAGGGGGGTCTCATTCTAATGGCAGAGAGCCATCACTCTAGGGGCACTTAGTTTTATGCGGCACTTAGTACAAACCCCAGCCAAGGGATGCCCTGGGTCTAAGGGAGGAGGGAGAACACAGAAAAGCAGTGAGACAGAGATGACCTTCAGTGGAACCCATCCTTTCTGAAAACCTGTGACGTCCCACAGGAGGTTTGAGTACTGTGTGCTGAGCCCCCAGGCTTGCAATCCCAAGCAGGGAAGGTCACTCCTAGGATGCCCAGCTTCACTTTATGCCTCAGTGCAGAATGCTATTAGGCTTGCAAGATCCAGAAAAGAGAGGTCAGGAGGCTACAGCTGTTGTGCTCAGGGCAGACTCCTTGCAAGAAGCAGAATTAATCTGGCTGCACAGCCAGGCGGTTTAAATACAAGTGAAGAGGGGTCAGGAGGATATTTGCAGTAGGGGTGCAGTGTAAGCAAAGGCTGTTGGGTAGAAAAAGTAGACATGGCCATGAGTGCAGAGGCCTGCGCAGGACGGAGAACATGAAGGGGAAACAGGGAGGCCCAGTGGCAGGAACTCGTCAGGAGCCTGAATACCACTAGCCATTCCGTCCCTCACCCACCCACTGACATCCCCTATGTGCCAGGCAGACGTGGTCCCCATTCTCAAGATCACCATTCATTAGGTGGGGAAACAGACAGTGCTATTGGAAGAGAGGCCAAAGGCAGGACGGGGGTTCATGCCAGCGGAGCCAAGGAGAGAGCACGTGGCTTCATCAGAGCTGTGGAGGACTCAGAGCCCCCAATTCACAAGTAGAAAAGAGGGGTCCTTCTGAAGGACTTGCCCTCTATGCTCACAGCAGCCCCACGGAAGGAGGCAGCAGAGACTGTCATCCCCACTCTCCAGCCCCTTACCCCATGTGACACCACCTGGGGGACAGTGCTGGGCTCGGGCCTTGCCTCCTGCAATTCTGTCCTGGATTCACCCTGGGATTGTGACCCTGAGTCAAACCAAGGCTAGGATGAGTAAAGTGGAGGCAAAAACCACCCTACCTGGGTCTGCTGCTAAAATGGTCAGCTTCTCATGTAAGGTGGGTGCTCAGAAAAATGAACAAAATGAACACAAGGGAGGCCTGCAGAACAGGACGGGAAGTAGGACAGGAAACAGGGACTAGAAGGGGGAGGTACAAGGGACAGGCAAAGGCGGCAGAGGGTTTGGGCCGTAATGACTCAGTGATGAGGCAGCGGGAGCACCAGAGAAGCAAAGCTGACACAAGAGGCACCTCATAGCAAGGATGAGGGCTGTAGTGGCAGAGAAGAAAGGAACAAATGACTCAGGGGAACACCAGATGTGGGGAAGTGCCAGCCCACAGCAAGACAGAGCAGGCCCAGGCCCACTGTCGGGAGGGTGGGGCTGGCTTACTGGGGCTGGGTCCGCCAGGGTCCACGTGTACTTGCTCCTCTGCAGCCGGAGTACATTGCCCTGGAGTCACTGAGCCAGGACTACGGCTTTGAACTGCTGGGTATGTGCCGGAACCAGAGCGAGGTGACTGCGGTGCTCAATGACCAGGACGAGGACAACGAGACTGAACCCGAGGCTGAGGGCCTGGGCCAGGCCTTTGAGGAAGGCATCCCCAACCTGGCGAGGCTGCGACTGGCCGTCAACTACAACCAGAAGCGGGTCAGCTGGGCCCTACCCACCTCCCCCATCCTACCCCCATCCCTGCCTGGCCACTGCTAGGTGTCTCCCTGGGCAGCGCAAGTAAGTCCTCTCCCTGACTTCCTAGACTCTGATCCCAAGCACCCTTCTGTCTAGGCCCTTGGCCCTGTGGGTCTCCTCACCTCCCTCCCTTCTTACCTTTAGTCTAAACCCCCTAACCTCTACCCAGCCCTTGGAAGTCACACGACCCACCAGGACCCTACCTTCAGCCCAGACATCTGAGTTTTACTCAGCTCTGCCTCTGACCTGTGGAGTAAGTTTTGTCTAGTCATCTTCTGTTGTTAGACTTCATTATCTCTCTGTTCAGCAAGATTAGATTAGATTAGATCTCCGAGGGCTTAGATACCAAGTGATTCCATTATTCCCCACCTCCTTAGTTGCCTGTCCCCATGAGCTAAAGACATGCTCCTTTCTAGCCTCCCCTCCCTCAGGTATCCAATCCCACCAGGAGCTTACCCAAAAACCTTCCTTCATAATGGCTTCCCTGGCCCTGCCCTCCAGGACACCAAACCCTACTTTCCCTGCACCTCCCCTCCTCAAGACTTGTGCCCCACATCTCTAACAGGACAGGAACCCCTGAGGGTTCTGGGACTTGAGAACCTAGTTCTACCCATTGCTGCCTTAAATTCAAGAACGTGGGATCTGGGGGTGCCTGGCTGGCTCAGCCAGTAGAGCATTGGACTCTTGATCTCTGGGTTGTGAATTTGAGCCCCAATATTAGGTACCGAGATTATAAGAAAGAAAGAAAGAAAGAAAGAAAGAGAGAAAGAAAGAAAGAAAGAAAGAAAGAAAGAAAGAAAGAAAGAAAGAAAGAAAGAAAGAAAGGAAGGAAGGAAGGGAAAGAGAGAGAGAGAGAGAGAATGTGGGATCCGGAGAGTCCAGAAAAATCTTTTGAGTTCAGCTTCTCCTTCATAGACTAAGAACCAAGGCCCAAAGAGGGGTGGGGTCTGGGGTCTGCCCAAGGTCACACAGCAAAGGAGATGCCTCTCTTCTCAGCTGGCTGGCCTGAGAAGAAAACAAATAGGGCTCAATCTTTGTGGCAGGGAAAGAAGGACTACAGCCCCAGTTGGCTCCCCCTCCTTTCCTTCCTGGTAAACACCCACTCTGCTCACGCGCCGCCTTCTCTGCTTAGTTTGTAGCACACCCCATCTGCCAGCAAGTCCTGTCCTCCATCTGGTGTGGGAACCTGGCTGGCTGGTGTGGAAGCACCACCATCTGGAAGCTCTTTGTCTCCTTCCTCATCTTCCTCACCATGCCCTTCCTCTGCCTTGGCTACTGGCTGGCGCCCAAGTCCCGGGTACCAAGAATAAATTAATGATAACTGCCACTTTTTGAGCCTTTTGCTAATGTCCCCATTGAGTCCCCTGAAGGGGTGCTGGGAAGTCGGTCTGACGCTGATTTATAGAGGAGGCATGGAGAACAGAAGTGCTCTTTTTGTCCAGGGGACATACAAAACAGCACAGTCAGGATTTAAACTGAGGTCTCTGCCTCCAAAGCCTGATCTTTCTTTATATACAACCCTGTGCTCTCCTAAAGAGACCCCCGCCCCAGCCTACAAATTATTTGAGAGCCTTTATGGACCTAGACGTTTTTATTCCTTCATCTCAACAAGTATCTCCTTGAAACCCTGCTGTGAGCCGGGTGTCAGACCCGGCCCTGGGGGTTTAACGAAGAGTGAGCAAGGTTAGCTGGGTGAGGAACAGGAAGAGTGGTTCTCCAGAGGAGCGGGAGCAGCATTTTGGAAGGGCCGGGGTGGGGGTGGGGGCGGTTAGGGGAGAACATCAAGGATGAGTGAAACTGAAAGAATGCTTGCGTTGCTAAAGCATAAGTAGAAATAGCAAGTGGTGGGAAGCAGGCAGGGGCCAGATCTAGCAGAGCCTTATGAGCAGTGATGGAAGCCATTGTAGGGTTTTAAGGAAGGGAGCAATCCCATTAGCTGTGTGTTTGAGAAAGCTTGCTCTACTAGAAGCATGAGGATGGGGTGGGGCAGGGGGCAGGGCAGGAATTGGGGATGTGGCCCTTGTCTAAAATGGGGACACAGGAGGAGGAAAATGACCAAGTTTGGGATAGAAGTTGATGAATTTATTTTTTAACTCGGCTGAGCCTGAGCTCAAGGAGCTTGTGGGACCTCCAAGGGGAAGTTCCTTCAACTCTATGATCTTCAGTTTCTTAGTTGAAAAAAATGGAGACTAGTACTCATGGAGTACTGATGGAGACTAATACTCATACAGTTGTGAAGGAAATAGATATGAAATGTAATACCTGCTCAGTAAATACCTGAATATGTGCATGAGTGAAAGGAGGAGTCTGGAAGCTCCCAGGAAACAGGGAGATGGGACAGACCTCCGAGACGAGCCATGCTTTCCCTCCTTGCCCCCAAGCTGGGCTGCCTACTGAAGATCCCAGTGCTGAAGTTCCTGCTGCACTCCGCCTCCTACCTGTGGTTCCTCCTCTTCCTGTTAGGCGAGTCCCTGGCCATGGAGACACAGCTGAGTACCTTCCGTGGCCGCAGCCAGAGCGTCTGGGAGACCTCCCTACACATGGTTTGGGTCACAGGTACATGGGTGAGGCCTTTCATTTGTAGCAGTCCCCCGATGGGCTTCCTCTCTGTTCTTCAAAATAAGTACTCCACTGGGCGGGTGGGGGGGGGCTCTCCTTGTAGATGAACATATAATCAAACTCCTCTGGGCTCTCCTACACCAAGGGACCTTTTCTAGTTAGGGAATCTAGCCCTGTGATAAAACTCCCTGAGCAAGGGTGCCATACTTGCCCCACTCTGGACGTTCCTGTCCTCTTACAAATAAGACATGAGTCCATAGTGTCAGGTGGGAGGGTACCCTGGTGTCACAGTAGCCTGCCAGTACACCAGCAGGTGACCTAGTCCTAAAAGTCATGGAACAGAAGGGCTCCCACACTAAACTGAGATGCCTACATCATACAGCTTATTAAATCCCTGAATGGTATCCTTGGGACAGTGTAGTTAGGGGGAGCCTAGTAGAGATCAGAGCAGGGGCTCTGACAGCTGGAACTTGGCTGGCCCCAACGCTTCATCTATGGGAGAGACGTGGGGACGAGTGTGTCTGGCCACAGGGTACGCTTGCTAACCATCCCGATGGGCGGTTATGAGTTGCCTCGCAATCCTTGTGCGAAGGACACTGAGGACCAGAATGGGTATTACTAGGGGGTAGCTGACTTCAATGCCAACGACTCCTGAGGGCTTCCTCTGCCGTGTGTACATTCAGCACATCACAAATATTCAGATTCCCCCCATTCCTTTCTCACCCACATATGCTCTACCCATTTTATTTGTTCAACACGTCACCCAAATAACTTATCTACGCTCAGTGTTTGAGTTTCATCCGTTCCATCTGTTTTCTTCTAGAGCAGAATCAAGTATTCTTAAACAATTCAGCAAAGGCAATTATGAGAATCCCCAGAGCCCTACTTAGCCTCTGGCTGGTCAGCTCAGTGGGCTGGGCTGTTGGCCATTTCCTCAGCCTCATTCAGCTCTAGCTTAGTTAGCAAACCCCCGAGGCTTCCAGTAGACCGAATCCACTACTCCACCCAGTACCAAGCCAGTCAATGATGCCCGAAAGGAAATCTGGCCAAGAAACTCTGGGGAAGAAAACAATAGCAGTCCAAGAGGAGAAGTCTCTCATCCAGCGATTCACTAAACATGACGGACCTATGCTAAGTGGAGATAAAACCAATTCTGTTCCTGCCCACGGAGGAAGAAATGTCTTAGGAAACAAAACTCTGCATTTCTTCATGCACTAAGGGCTTGCTGCTACCCTACTCTGAGTGAAGCCCCAATCAATTAAATATGGTTCCATCTACCCATGCAACACCTACCCCAGGCTCACAAGAGGGTCTCCCAGCCCTGGCCCCTGCCCCCGCTGCCCTGGCACCTGGCTCACTCCCCCTGCCCCTCCTTCCAATCTCAGCTTAAAGGTCACTTCCTTTGGGAAGCTTTCCCTGGCCCCCAAATCAGGGTAAGTGTCGCGGCCGGCGCAACAACGCGACCAGGGTTGAGAGGGTAAGAGGATGGTGAGACAAAGAGGAGACGTAAAGAGATGGGGACAGGAGGGACACAGTGGATGATGTCCAAGCAGTGCCAATTTTATTCAAGGCTGTGAGGCATTATATAGCCAACAGAAACAATCATAAGAAGGTATCTATTTTTAGCTGATTACTAAAGAGTTTGCAACATGCACAGAAAACCCTTCAAGCTTTCCCATTATCTATTTCCCAAGCACCAATAGCAGACCCTCTGGCGCCAGATGTACTAACTTCAAGGCTACTCAAGACATAGTTTATGTAAGCACAGCACAATCTTACAATGGTGTAGTTTATAGCCCGTGCAAGGACAGCACAATCCCACGATGGTTTAATGAGCAGGCCTCTTTTGCCCATTCCAGATAAGCACATGCAGGCAACCACGTTGGCGAGTCTTAGGATCCATAGCTCAGGCCCTTTCTCAAGCGCTGCTCAACTTTCCACTCACGGGGTTATTAACCCTTGGGCTTCCAGGAGGCGTGAGTCGGGGCCTGGTTTGGTCTCTGGACTCTAGCCCAGTCCGAGGCTGCCTACAGGTAAGGATCCGTTCCTAACCACTCCCAAAACAGCCTCTCTATTCCCCTGCTCCTCGATCTGAGCACTTACCACACTGGACTGTGACCACTGGGCTACTTGCCCGTCTCCCTCGCTAGCATCCTGGGAGGCCAAGGACTGTATTTGTCTTATTCACCTCCGGACCCCACTGGCGCATGATAGGAGCTTAATGAACGTTGGCTTAAGAGTGACTCCTAGGCCTTGCGCTGGGCTCTGTGGACAAGCAGATGAATCATACACGGTCCCTGATGTTAAGCAGTTCAAAGTTCAGAGGAGGTGAGGGGAGACAGACCCAGAAAGAGATATCCCACAGCGCCCGTGGTTGATGGCACCACAGAGATCTGAAGGACGCTGTGAGAGAAGAGCGCAGGGGGAACTCACCCCACCTGCTTTGGGAAAGCTTCAAAGAGGAGGTAGTATTCGACCTGGGCCATATCAAACAGTCCCTTCTAGGCAGACGGAAACAGCACACGCTTGTATCTCGAAACAGAGAAGGGTACAAAGCAGCAGGATTACTTGGCTAATGGGGTCCAGCTCCTGTGACACCCCATCCCCAGATCTGGCACTCAGAGCAGGCAGATAATTTGGAGCCCCTTCAAATCAATACTCTCAAAATATTTGTCCAGTATTTATTTGGTGGAAGGCAGGGAGAAACAGATTTAAGTCATTCCCTCCCAGTATCAGCCTCTCCCAGGGGTTAGTTTTTTATGCCTATCAGCTGTCTGGAATCATCAGTGCAGGCCGCACCCCAGGGGAGTCTGCCTCAGTGAGAAGGCTTTGATTTATTTGTTTGTTTCCGTTTTTGAGAGAGAGCACACGAGTGAGGTGGGGAGGGGCAGAGGGAGAGGGAGAGAGAGAATTTTAAGCAGTCTCTATGCCCAGCGCAGAGCCTGTCGTGGGGCTCAATCTCACGACCCTGAGATTATGACCTGAGCCCAAATCAGAAGTCTGAGGCTCAGCCCACTGAGCCACCCAGGCGCCTCAGAAGCCTTTTTTTTTTCACAGAGGAGCACTCTGTCCTTCCATAGATTGCATGTTTATATGTTTTATCAACTCTGTCTCTGTGGTATTTTAGATCTCTGCCCCCCATGGTAGGTGTCCCCACACCATAACCTAGCTCTCCCCCTACCGCCTCCTTCAGGTTTCCTGTGGTTTGAGTGCAAGGAGGTGTGGATTGAGGGCCTGCGCAGTTACCTCCTTGACTGGTGGAACTTCCTGGACATGGTCATCCTGTCTCTGTACCTAGCGGCCTTCGCACTGCGCCTCCTCCTGGCCGGGCTTGCCCACATGCACTGCCGGGATGCCCCCAGTGGGGCTGCCTGCCACTATTTCACCACAGCTGGTGAGTGCCTCACCCGCCCGGTTCTGCCCGAATCCCCCAGCCCCTTCGCTCCCCTGGCTCTCAGCCTCAGCCTGCACTCCACCCTGCACAGAGAGAAGTGAGTGGCACACAGAGGACCCCCAGTTCTTGGCGGAGGTGCTGTTTGCTGTCACCAGCATGCTCAGCTTCACCCGCCTGGCCTACATTCTGCCGGCTCACGAGTCCCTGGGCACTCTGCAGATTTCCATTGGCAAGATGATTGACGACATGATCCGGTGTGTACTGTCCCTGCTCAGAGCAACCTCCCCTGTCATAGACTCCATGGCCTCTCCCTGTGGAATTCCCCAGCCCTCTGCTACCCACACTGTGTGCCTCTGACTGTGCTGATGGTAAATCCTGTCCAGTAGGACTCTGACTCACTCATCCTCGATCCACATCTCAGCATCTCAGCCCCTGCCTGGGAGACTGGCCCATCCCCTGATCTCATTGCTTCAACTCAGTACCCTTCATTCTAAAGGAAGAGCTCCTGCTTCGGCACCATTTTATTTTATTTATTTATTTTAAAGATTTATTCACTTATTTTAGAGAGAGTGTGGGTGCGGGGAGGCAGGCAGAGGGAGAGGAAGACAGGGACAGTCTCCTTAAGCATACTCCCCACTGAGTGCAGAGCCTAATGAGGGGCTTGATCCCAGGACCCTGAGATCATGACCTGAGCCAAAATCAAGAGCCAGATCCTCAACCAACTGAGCCACCCAGGTGCCCCCGGCACCATTTTAAATGACTTCTCCTTTCCCATCCCTACTTTCTCTATTCTTAGTAGTCACCAAATTGAATACTTGTCAAGAGATACTGAGTCTGAGAGGATATTGCCCAATCCCTCTTCCCAGAACCTGACTTCTCCCAAGGTGGAGACTTTCTCTGACCTGTCCCTATCCCATCCCCTGTCAGGTTCATGTTCATCCTCATGATCATCCTGACCGCCTTTCTCTGTGGTCTCAACAACATCTATGTGCCCTACCAGGAGACAGAACGGCTGGGCAAGTACGCTGGGACAGAGACAGGATGGGCAGGGGGGGTTGGGACACAACCACCTGGGGCTTAGTGATCACCTCTGCCTTCCTCTCCTTCCTCTTCTATTCTCTTATAATTAATCTCTTGTTTGGGCAATAATTAATTCTCTGTCTCACTAATTCACACTCATTCATTCGTTTGCTAACTCATTCATTTACTCACTCACTTTCTTCCCAAACTTATCATTTTGAAAAATGTCAATCCTGCGGAATCAGTAAAAGCACAGTGGACACCCATATGCCCTGCACCCAGCTCCAGCAACAGATGTTTTGCCACATTTTGCTCCAACAATTGCTCTCTTTATTCTTTTTTTTTCCCTTGAAACGTTAAAAAGTTGCAAACATTCCCCAAATATTTCAGATATCCTAAGACACAATCATAAGACCATGATCACACTCAAAACATTTATTTATATTTATTTTGGGGCACCTGGGTGGTTTTAGTCGGCTCAGCATCTGCCTTTGGCTCAGGTCATGATCTAAGGGTCATGGGATAGAGCCCTGAGTGTGTGTGTGTGGTGGGGGGTCCCTGCTCAGTGGGGAGTCCACTTCTCCATCTCCCTCTGCCCCTCCCCTGCTATTGCTCTCTCTCTCTCAAATAAATAAAATCTTAAATCTTTTAATCTATTTTTTCTTTTCTTTCTTCTTTTTTTTTTTTTAAGTAGGTCCTAGACCCCACATGGGGCTTGAGCCTGAGATCAGGAATCCCTTGCTTTACTGACTGAGCCAACCCTATGTCCCCACACTTAAAAAATTTAATACCAAGGGGTACCTGGCTGGCTCATTCAATAGAGCATGGGACTCTTGCTCCCAGCTTCATGAGTTCAAACCCCACACTGGGTGTAGAATTTACTTAAGAAAAAAAAAGAAAAAGAAAGAAACAAATAATTTGATACTGATCCTAAATTATTATTTACTGTATAGTTCTTATTCCAATTTCCCCAGGTGCCCCACTCCCCCCCAAAAAAAATCTTTCTAGCTTTTTAAAAATCTGAGATCCAATCTGGGGTCATGTGTTACATTTTGTTGTCCTATCTCTTTAGTCTCCTTTAATCTGCAACACGCCCTCTACCTTTTCTTTGTCTTTCATAACAAATGAACCTTTTTGAAGAGTATGGATCAAGGTATATCGCAGAGAGTGGCCCATAGTCGGAATTTATCAGACTAGTTCCTCATGGGAAGATTCAAGTTAAGCAATTTTGGCAAGAACACACCTAGGCACTGATGTGGGTTTTCCATTGCATCCCATCAGGAGACAGAAGATGCCAGTGTAGCCCACTGTCGGGTCTACTGGTCTAGCAAATCTCTTCACTGTGAAGTTGCTAAGGATGCTCATTTAACAATGAAAAGATATGTGGAAACCGTGTGACCAACCTGTTCCTTTGGATCTCTGACTCTGTAGCTTTAGCATCCATACATGAATCCCGGTGATCTTCTACTGCCGTTCTATCTGTGGCATCCTTCTATAAAGAAGTGCTCTCTTCTTTTCTGAAAATCACTAAAGATGCAAAGACTTTTTTTAAATATAAGAATCCATTACAGTTCATTATTCTTCTTGATACTTAGTTCTTGCCAAATATGGCCAATAATTCTTGTATTTGTTTATTCACTCATTCTTTTTTTTTAAAAGATTTTATTTATTTATTTGACAGACAGAGATCACAAGTAGGCAGAGAGGCAGGCAGAGAGAGAAAGGAGGAAGCAGGTTCTCTGCGGAGCAGACAGCCCGATGTGGGGCTTGATCCCAGGACACTGGGATCATGACCTGAGCCGAAGGCAGAGGTTTTAACCCACTGAGCCACCCAGGCGCCCCTATTCACTCATTCAATGTCTATTCATTCATTTACCCACATTTTGTTTCCATTCACCTTGTCATTCAATTGTGGTGGGCTTTTCATTATTGTTGTTGAGTTCACACCCATTTACGGACACCTTCTTTGTAGGAAGTCCTGTCCCTGGCACTGGAAGCTGAGACAGAGGAAGTGAACCAGTCTCAGTCTCATAAAGAAGATCACCAGTGTCCATAAATAAGCTTGATCCAGGGCACTAAGTGCTGTGAGGAAGGAAGGCTTGTGTTGAGGATACCCAGAGGGGAAAGCTCCTTCTTCTGCCTTAGGTAATCAGGAAGGATTTCATAGAGAGGGGAGTATCTGGACTCCATCTCTTAGGATTATGGGGTTCAGAGAAGGTGCAGGGTATCCTGGGCAGAAAGGGAACAGCACCAAAGCAGGGACATATGGTTGGAGAATCAAGATGTCTTCCACGGTTGGCATGTGGAGGGAATTCTGAGAGAGGAAGCTGGAGAGGGTAGAGGGGCCAGGTCACCAAGCTCATGAACGTCCTCCTGAGAAGCGTGGGTTTTCTCAGGCTGGCCAGTTTGCTCCCAGTGGCCTTTCAAGCAATGATGCTATTATAAATTCTTCCTGAGTGCAACTATGGGATGGTTTTATTGACGATGCTGAAGGAGCCACTCTGGGGCCTGTGGATATTGGTCAAGACTTTGTCATTGGTTCCAGCGTAAATGGAGGCTTTGTTCAGATCAATCCTTTTACTAAGAACCATTGTTCACATCCCACCTTTGGGATGCTAGCTTAAAGGAACTGAGCTTACACAGTTTAAACCATGAATATCACCACCAGGGGCAGCAACAAACCATCCCAGCCTGCTTCGTGGGTCCTGGTGATACCACTCACGCCACAGTGTCACAGGCCACCTCTCCTGGGCTGTTCACTCATGGATGACACCTAATTAAGCCAAAGATATTTCTGCTAACCATCTCAGAGAGGTTGTATGGGAGGCATCTAACCTGAGAGCAATTAGGAGCGTTTAAGGCTTGACGAGCAGAAGTACAATACATCTGATCAGCAGTTGGAAAGAACACCTTGGATGCCATGTGGGGGCTGGAATAACAAGAGACTGAAGCCAGAGACCAGCCGCAGAGGCAGCAGCAGTAATCGAGGCCTGAACTGGGGCTGAGGTAGAGGGAGTAAGACAGATTCACAAATAAATTTGAGAAGAGGGAGAATGTCGTAGGGTCTGAATGACTAGCAGACATGCACATTTGACTGGGGATAGAGAAGGGAGTTCAGAAGGGCTTCCTGGAAGAGGTGGCACTGGAGTTGCTACTGCTGTGGTCCAAATACCATCACCTCTCACCCAGACCATGACAAGTTTCTTTCCTTCCTTTCCCTTTCTTTCCTTCCTTCCTGCCTGCCTTCCTTCCTGCCTTCCTTCTTTTTTTCTGAGAAAGAAACAGCATGCACAAGCCTGAGGGGGTGGTGCAGAGAGAGTGGGAGAGAGAGAATCCCAAGGAAGCTCCATGCTCAGCACAGAGCCCTACACGAAGCTCGATCCTACGATTCTGATATCATGACCTAAACTGAAATCAATAGTCAGACGCCCAGCCAACTGAGCCACCCAGGCACCCTAACCACAAGCTTCTTAACTGGTCTTTATGCCCCCACTCTCTCATGGCTGCATCCTTAGCACTTTTGGCACTACTATATGCTCAATAAATATTGGTTTACTGAAAGAATGAGTGTAAACTCAGAAATGACAAGAGTCAGTATGGGCCAGGGTGGCAGAACACCCTTGGCTGGGTACTGGAGGGTGAGGAGGAGTGTTTCTCGCTGGCACTCAGGCTCTCCTCCTGGCCTCACATCCTATCCTTTGCTCGGCCCCATGTGCCAGTTTCAACGAGACATTCCAGTTTCTGTTCTGGACCATGTTCGGCATGGAGGAGCACAGCGTCGTCGACATGCCTCAGTTTCTGGTGCCTGAATTCATGGGCCGGGCCCTCTATGGCATCTTTACCATCGTCATGGTCATTGTGCTGCTCAACATGCTCATTGCCATGATTACCAACTCCTTCCAGAAGATTGAGGTGAGCAGAGGCTAGCTGAGGCCAGGGAGAAGGGACCCAGGGACAGAGAGGAAAAGAAGGCAAGAAGTCCCGACACTTGGGTTCCTGCTTGGGCTCTACTCTCGTGTTTTGTGGTTTGGGACAGGAGTTCCTTTCTAGGCCTAATTTTCTTCATCTCTAAAATGAAGGTCTTAGGGATGCTATTCGTTTCTCCAGACCCAAGTCCGGTGCTCTTTCCCCTTCATGGTTTGGAGGAAGGGTGCATTGTGGAAAGAAAAGTAGGTGGGAACATGAGAAGGGAGAGAGAAGATGGATGGGCTAGGGTTTGTGGCTGGAGAGCACAGGCAGGAATTGGATGTCAGAGGATGAAAGACAGTGGGGAGGAAGAGAGGGAAGGGGGAGCCAGGCAGGGGAATGTGGGTGATAGATGGGAATGGGGAGAAGACAACAGTGGGCACACTGCCGAAGAGGCATGGAAACCAGGGGAGCTTGAGACAGACGGGGTGAGCAGGAGGGCTGGGTACCAAAGTGGCCTTGCAGAGCCCCTGCCTCCTGGCACCAGGATGATGCGGATGTGGAGTGGAAGTTCGCTCGCTCCAAGCTCTACCTGTCCTACTTCCGAGAAGGCCTGACGCTACCTGTGCCCTTCAACATCCTGCCCTCCCCCAAGGCCCTCTTCTACCTTCTCAGGTGATGCCCGCAGCACTCTCACTCCCCACCTCCCAAGCATCCAGCAGCACCCACCTAGCTGCCTTGACCCCGTCCCTTGACTGACTGCTTGCTGGCCCCTCTGAATGTCTCAGGAGAATTTTCCACTTCATCTGCTGTTGCTGCTCCTGCCACCAAACCAAGAAGCCAGACTATCCGCCAATCCCCACCTTTGTGAGTACCTCCTCTGCTTGTCATTGGTCTTCTTCAGGCTGGGCCTTCACCTGTATTGTCTACACTGCCTGGTTATCTGCACACTCCTTGTCTGTCTTTCTGGTTTGTTCCCCACAAAGCCATTTCCCATGTCCTCCTCTCATACCTGGCTGCCTTTCCCTGTTCCTGGCTCTGACCGTTTCCTAGATTTCCAACTACAGGTTACGCAGCTTCAACAGAAGTCCATACCGCCCTGCTCCCAAGCCATGGGCACCCTATTTGTCTCAGACCTGTCCTGCAGCCTTAAGAAGCCACTGGAGTCCCCGCTGAGCCACAGGAGGATCAGGAAAACCCTACTCCCCCAAGCAATCCTTTTCAGTATTATATTTTTATCACTATTATCACACAATCTTTTTGCCATCAAAAAAAAAAAAAAAGGTCCAAACTTCAGACAAACCTCTTTGCCCTAAACTGAGCCAAGACGTAGTTGAACATTTTAAAAAAAAGTTAAGAAACCAAGGCAAAGTACCCCACAAACTGGGAAATTAAATGGATGATAGAGGCCTGAGAGAGGAGGCCAAGCCTCCAAGGGGCTCCCTTACCTCTTGTTACGTGTTCCCTGACCCAGGCTTGGCCTGGGAGCCCCATCCTGTTTCAGACCAGCATTAAGGCCGGGTCTGTAGGGGTTCCTGTTTCCTTTAAAATGTGTTACCCGAGGATGTCTCTAAGCCAGGGACTCCAGGCCAGCTCTGTGGGGGCCACAGGCCAACTCTGGAGCTCTGAAGTCCCTTGATCCCCAGATTGGTCCACAGTTTGTTGAACAAACACCAACACCTCTACTGGAAATAAAGATCTGTGTGACGGTCGTCCCTCCAGGAGCTACCAGTCTAGCGTAGCAGAAGGAAACTGGTGGTGAATGCACGTGACAGCAAGCACGTGACAGAGAGCAGCACAGGGCACATCTGGAGCCCAGAGGACAGGCCCCAGATCCAGACTCAGGAGCCAGGGAGCTTCCCAAAGCCCTTTAGAGCAGAACGGAACCCTGAAGTGCAAACAGGAGGTTGGTGGGCAGACACAGTGGAGAAACCGCATGTGCTCAGCATGGGAAAACAGGACGCTTACAAGAAAGTAAACGGCCTGGGTTCCCAGTTCCCAACACTCCCCGGCTCTGGGCCATCCCGTGTGGACACTTCCTTCACCCTAAAGAACCTCTGACTCCAAATTCTGGAATTATCACTCTTTTCCCTACTCTCTGCCAGGGAAGTACTGACAGAGGAAGTAGGCATTACTACCATTTCTGTTTTAAATTTGGAGGCCCTCAGGCCTAAACAAATTGAGTAACTTGCCTGGGGCGCCAAGCTGCTAAGTGACTGAGCTGGGATTTGGGCCTGTATCTTCCCAGTCTAGCACTTTTCTTGCTATACCTCTGTTCCCTCTCCACTGTCTGCCCCATCCACATGTCCTGCTTGCCCTCTTAGTACTGTTGTGGGGCATATACCTGAACCGCAAACCAATCATTCCAACTTGCATGATAATTTCCATGCAGACGCCTCCCCACATTCCCTAGTTTCCCCCTCCCCAGCATTTGAAGGGCAGGGTTAACCTGGACTAACTCAAGAAAACCAAGGTAGGGTTGGTGGTAGGAGAGAGAACTCACCCATGCCTGACTCAACATTTTTGTCTCTGCCCTCAACCTGCTTCTGCACCTCCCCCACCCCCACCGCCCTATACCAGCTCTCTTATACTCAGCCTTTGCTCAGCTTCTGCTTCCTTCTGCCTTCCAGGACTGCACCAGTGTCTAGCTATGTGGCCTCAAGGGACAGAAAGGTCTGCAGACTTGGCCTCCAACCTTTATCATCTGGGGGAGGGCACAGTGATTATAGAGTGGCTGGGAGCAGGGGTAGAGTCTCTCTCACCCTCTGGTCTTCCCATCCCAGGCCAATCCGCAGGCAGGGGCAGGGCCTGGGGAAGGAGAGCAAGGATCCTATCACCTCCAAGTCATCAAGGCCCTGGTACAACGCTACATAGAGAGAGCCCAGCGGGAGTTTGAAGAGACCCGGCGGAAAGGTTAGTGGCTCACCCCTAAGCCTTCCCCATTGCATTATGGGAATAAATACCACACACCCAGGCTCACACCCTGTAGTGTGGCCCTCCTACTCAATGACTCTGAGCCATTCAGATATTTATTCCACTCATTTCCTTCAATCCTTCATTCCTGTGTTTTTGTTGACTCATTGACTCTCTTACCCACAGGCTCACTCACTCCACTCTTTCGTTCATTCACTCAGTCACTACTAATTCACTTATTCAATCAACATTCATCACCGCATCCCCTTTGTTTCAGCCTCGTCTTGGAGGGATGGGGGGACTGTGTAGAGCAGAGACACGGGGGAAGTTTTCAGGTTGGTGAGACAGAGAAACCATCTTTGCAGGCAGATCATGCTTAGTTAGGAGAGACCCAAACTGCAATGGGAGCCCAAGGGAGATAAAGAACCTATTGCTTTGAGAGGTTCACGGGAAGGCAGAAGGATAGAGGACCAGAAATTGGAGAAAGCAGAGGTGTTACTCAAACTGGGCCCTGAGGACGGATAGATGGGAATAGGGCTGACAAGGGCAGAAACACAAATCTCTCCCCATTAAAAACTTTCTCATTCCTGTGACTCCTAATCTCTTCTCTGGCCCGCAAGTCTTTCCTTCACATTGCCTAAACTCATGACCACCTCAGTCCCTCTCAGATTCATCTGACCCAGACTCTGCCTGCTCCTGACCCCCCACCCAAGAGCCAGTCTCTCACTTTTTCCAGTTCTACTCCCTCAGGCCCCGTAGGCATGATGTCCCCTGGGGTTCTGTTGTGAGGGGAGAAGTGGTTCAGGACAGGCTCATCTTCCGAGAGACCTCCCCGTCAACACCTTCCCCCGCACCCCAGACCTGGGCAACAGACTGACGGAGCTGACCAAGACTGTGTCTTGCCTGCAAAGCGAGGTGGCTGGTGTGCAGCGGACCCTGGCAGAGGGAGGGACACGCCGGCCACCTGGAGGTGCCAGCATCCTCAGTCGCTACATCACCCAAGTGCGTAACAGCTTCCAGAATCTGGGCCCTCCCATCCCTGAAACTCCAGAGCTCACAGTGCCAGGGATTGAGGGGACCCAGGTACCTTCAGAACCTGGGCTTCAGGATGTTGGAGGGGCTAGGATGCCAGCTTCTGGAGAGTCTGACCCTTCCTCCCCAGCTCGTGTGTTAGTGCACAGGGAGCAGGAATCAGAGGCGGAGGGGGACCTGCTCTGGGAGGAAGATTTGGGGGTCAAGGGGGGGGCCCGGGGGCGGGGGAGAGTCCTTTCTTCCGTTGCTAGGTAGAGCCGCCTGGATGGATAAGGGCAGGTGTCATTTAGCAGAAGACTCTGCTGCTTTACTTGTCTCAATAAAATTTCTGTTCTGGATATCAGATGCCTCCAGAGTGTGTAATCTCTGTCTCTTCAGGTTTTGAGATTCCCCTCTCCTCGCCCCTAAAAGAGACTCCTGTGGGAGCAGGACAGAGAGAAATGTCTTGCTCTGGGGTCCCAGGTGTCCTGGGCTCAGGCTCCTACTTTGAGTTCCTTCAGATCTTTTGTGGAAAGAATTCTGGACTGGGAGGCAGGGAGCTTGGTTTCAATACTAACTCTCTGACCTTGAGCAAGTTGCTTCCTTCCTTGGCTTTCTATTCTTCATCTGACAAATGGGCCATTGAATCCATCTGTCCACCTTCCTTCCTTCCTTCAGGGAGGTTGTGAGGAGTCTCTGGCTGTTAAAGCTTCTGAGTTTGCAAGTTGTGGTATGTGCGGGAGTCTGCACAGGGGACCATGTCTAGGAGTGCCAAGGCCAGAGCAGGGTAGATGATCTAGTCTCATGGAATAAACCAGTCAGGAAATTTGATGTCACCACACTGCAGTACTGTTTAATTGAGTGGCCATCATGGTACCACCCTTGCTTGTCCCTGGGAATCCCTACCACACAGCAGGGCTCCCTCCACCCTACCAGGGTCTCAGATCCCCCCACATCCTGTTTGGGAGGGGAGATGGCTGGGTCAGTCCCCTTCCCTGGGGAAATGGTGGCTAAGGCTGGGTCTGAAACCACATTCCCACTTCGAGGCCATTCGAAGCCCCCTTCTTTGTCAGAAGGTCACAAGTTCCTAGGACTCCTAAGTTGCAGACACTGGGCTCTCAGGGCCCAGCCCCCGAGAGCTGGAAGCCCCCAGGGGCCAAGAGCAGAGTCTTCCAGGAAAGCAGAGAGAAGTCCCCCTTGGAGGTGGAATGTGGCTGCCCTCCTGCTGGAGAGAGAAGAAAGGTGAGGGGTCAGTAGGGCTGGGGTGGGTGTTGGTGGGGGGTTATTGAAGCAGCTGAGGGAGAGGGCAGAAGGGTACTCACTTTGTGCAGACACACAGCCGCGCCTCTTCTCCCCTGCAACAGAGCACAGTGAGGCCACCATGTGGCTAGACCCTCACTCCCCAAGCTTCCCTTCCCACCAGGCCCTGGCGTGGGCCATTCCCCTTCCCAGTCCAGCTTTCCCTTCTCCTAAACACTGACTTCTGAGTTTCTTTCCTCTTCCGAACCCTGGAAAATCTCCTCCGATTGCTGACCCATCGTGGCTCCTGGCCTGGCCCCTATCACTCCTCCATCTGTCCAGGCCTCAGCACTGAGGGACAGCATGGATGTGTCCTGTCAACTGCATTAAGCCCAGGGAACTCCTGAGATCTGAAGCAGGCTGTCATTTTCTTCTGTCATTTTCTTCTGCTTATCAACCTGTCATTTTCTTCTGCTTATCAACCTCCTTAACCAGGTTCTTGTGGTCAGTTAGACTGTGCAGCAGATAGAACCTTTTGAGAACATTAGAGAACCACTCGAGAATTTCATAGACCCAGAAAACACTTCTAAGACCTTCTAAGAACTGGCTGAACCTGTCACAGAGAACAGTAATTCCGGCTGACTACCAGCCCTCAACTCCCCCATTAACCAAGCAGGTGTCCAGAAGGGGCGTCCCAGCTTACTCCCCCCACCCCCACTGTCCTGCCTCCCTCATGCACAGCTCACCACCCAGGTAGGCGCAGTTAAAGTGGCTGCAGGTCTGATTATAGCTCCAGAGAGTCACCAGGCTCTGGGCTCCATCTTGCAAGAACCTGGTGACCAAGAAGACTTCATGTGGGGGGATCAGCACCTCGCGCTCCTCAGGAAAGACAGACAAGGACTGGATCGGGGCCCCAAAGCAAGTCCTTAGTGAGAAGAAGGTGGCATTACCAAATCTGCGGGCCACTGCCTCATCCAGGGAGCTGGAAGCAAACTGGCCCAAGCGGACAGAGTCCCCCAGTCTCCTGGGTTCAAAGTGGAGGGTGCCCACACCTCGGAACACCACCTCCCCATGTCCCTTGCTGCAGCCCCCACTGCCCCGCAGCAGCTGCAGGGCCCGGGTGAGGTAGAAATGCAGGGCCTTGAAGGGAAAGTGCCTCATGTAGAACTCCCGGGAGCTGCCGCCGGTCCGCACCGCCTGGTTCAGCTCCCAGTACAAGGTGTTAGATGAGTTGGTGTAGACCATGATGGCGATTCCGTGCTGGGCTCTGAAGCCAGGGGGCAGGGTGAGCCGATGGCGCTTGTGCTCCCAGGCCTCCCGGGCTGCTTCCCAGGATTCCCGCAGCAGGGAGTGGCGGGCCATCTCCTCCTTCAGCAGGGGGCCTGCTTTCTCTTCCATCTCCTCTGCGCAGCCCACATACGCATCGTCGAAGGTGTCTGGAGCCAGGCCCAGGGGCAGGATGGGAACAGCCTGGGCCTGTGGATGTAGGAAAGAGAGGGGCCACATAGGAAAGGGGAGACGTTCAGAGCACTGGACAGGGGCCTTGGTGGCAGATCAGTCCAGAAACAGTATCTCATTTCTAGGACCAAATATCTAGTGTATGCAATTTGGCAAGAGCTCAAGGGCTTAAATAGCACAGCCACTGGAGGGAGACAGATGTGGGTTCAAATCATGACTTCCCCATCCCAGCTGTGGGATCTTGGGCCAGTTTCTTAACTTTTCTGAGTTTCAGGTTCTCCACGTATAAACTGAGGATACTTCCAAACTCACAGGGATATTGTGAGGACGGCATATAGATCTTCACTTCTGTACACCGTGAAGGGGTCATTTTGTCATTAGCAAAGTTCTGCACCTGGTAGGAAGTGGGGCTAGATGACTTCCAAGCACTGTTCTGGCTCTAACAATCAGGATGCAGGTGATAGACAAATATACAGCCAATGTCCAATGACCTGACCTGGTCCCCATCCTTAGGTTCTCTTCCTCCTTCATGCCACCACATGAGGACACGGTCAGCTCTGAGACTCCTGAGTCCTCTCCTGCTTTAGAAGCCCATATTCCAAAACATGCTTTGGGGTGTTGGGGTGGAGGAGGCCAAGCCCTGGTCTGGGAAGGGCTGTGGGAGGGCAGCACACAGGGAGCCGGAGAGGCTTTGCCTGGGCTGAGCCTGTGGTGGCAGACAGTATATGAAGGAAGGAAGATCCTAATAGGACCAGTGGGAGGAGGTGGAGGCTCTGGGAGAATGAGAATGGAGGTTCCTGAGAAGAAGAGGATTAAGAGCACTAGGATCCTAGAGAAGAGTATCTGGGAGAGCTTTTTGAGGCGTCAGCCCCCCAGTCCACCTCTTTTGGGTCTGCCCCTGACCTGTTCCCTTTGTGGCAGGAGTAGGTTCTCCCAGTTACCTGCCGGAGGGAATGGAGGCCGAGGTAGCTGAGAGCCAGCAGCAGAGCCGCCAGCATCATTCCTGGGGGCGACTCAGGAGGGCGAGGTCCAGATGAAGAGGGCACCACTGGCGATGGGCTGGGAGACAGAGATCGGGGTCCCTTCCTCTGGGGTGTGAAGGGTCTCCGTCCGGGATCCGGCCCAAGACGCTGTGGGCGGGGCCGAGGGCGGGCCTAAGTGAGTGGGCGTGGTCTTAGATTTCACTGTGTACCCCGCACAACCCCAGGGCTCTGCTCCCCAGATTCCCACTAGCCCCCACGCTCAGCGTCTTCTGCCCGGGGACCCTTGCGATAGTAAACGCGGAGCCATAATTTGGCTCCGCCTGCAGAAAGGAGGGGAAGGAGAGCCAGGGACCCACCTGGAAGTTGCAGGGGCGACAGCGGGAAGGAACACTGACCGCTCGGGCCGGCGGGGGGCTTAAGTCCCGGCGGGTGCTGCGCTGTCCCGGGAGTCTAGCCGATCAACAAAGTCCCGCGGCTAACTATAGCCCCCGAGGCGGTAACCCGACACCTCTCTTCTGCAACAACGGACACCGGGTGGGGAAGCGGGAGTGGCGCGGGAAGGGGCCGAGGGGCGTACCTCCCCTTCCCTAGGACTGCGAGTTCTTTCTCCAGAATCAGCTTTGGCTCCAAGCGAACGAGACCGTGTTTGGGGGAGGGACCTGCGAGACTTGACCTCTCAGGTGGGCCCCGACCTGGTGGAGCCCCAGCTCTCAGCCCACTAGACCCGGGAGGCCCACGAGGGTCCCGCCCACCAAGAACTGTCTGCTGGTGCACTCGCTGATTTGCATGCAATTTGCATATGGCCCACTCATGGGGGGCACGCGTGATCCAGCATCTGAGCGGCACCCGCCCACCCCCTTCCATTCAGTAGGGTTGGACCAGCTCTCTGTCTCACACCCTGAGGGGCCAGCCCCTCTCCCTCCACAGACCCTCTCTCTGGACCTCTTAGACCCAGGTGACCCCATGTTTATAAACACTAGCTTTTCCCCTCCCCTGCTGTGGGTCTGTCTATAAATAACCTGGCTCTGAGTTTTGGATGCCCAATCAGAGGTAACGGGAGAAGGGACCAGCTGAGAAATCAGTAAGCAGCTCTGGGGACAGACAGCTTTCTGGCAGCTTGAGCCCTGGGGGTGGGAGGGTTACTCCCTCAGGGGAGTTGGGGTCCCAAATGTCAGGATTTAAGAGATGTTTCCTGCTGCTTGCTGGGGCTGAGGTGAGCACAGAAAGTTAGACTGACTTCAGGGCCTCCATCCTGGTTTGGCTCATTCATTTAGCCCCATTCCCACTGCCCTGTTCCCTCAGGCTGCCAGCCAAATAAAAAATTTCCTTCCTCTAGAATCCTGCTTTCTCCAAAAATCCTTCCTACATACCAAAAAAGACACACTGTGTGCCTGGGCTTGGAGAAGTGTGGGGAGGGAGATGGGAAAAATATCATTCCCCCCCCAAACCAGAGAACTTGTCAGGCAAACACAGCCTCTAGACAAGTACTCTTGTCCTCTTCCAATGAGATGGGCCGTCCCAAAGATCACCTAGATCAGAATATCCATTCCTCTATTGTTCACCATTACTGTGAAAAACCACATATTGACTGTTTATCCTGACTGCCTCTCATCCTGGAGGGCCCAGAGCACCTGCAGCTGTTGGAACAGAAGATACCGCCTGGGACAGCCAGGCCTGCTGAGACATGGCCCTGGTACCAGCTCCACTGGGATGAGGGTTTTGTCCTCTCCCCACATGGAGGTGCTTCTCCCATCCCCAAATGTGGAACTCCAAGGGAGGCCCCAAAGGATGCAGTCAAATTTCGTTACAGAGACAGGGTACTGAGTGAGGCAGAAATCCTCCAAGATCACAGAGCAAATCAGTACTGGCCAGACTCAGCCTCCTGAATCTGGGAATTCCTTCTTGCACATTAGAGAGTCTCCATGCTCACATAATAGGAACACAAAGTAAGGAGATAATGAGGACAGGCTAAACCCAGTGTGGAGGTGGTTGTTCCAGCCAGGGTCCTCGATGCCTCAGGCCACCTTCTCTCTAGCCCCAGGGGTTCCTTTCTTTATGGGAGTGCACTGGCCCAAGGCAGTCTGGGCAGAGGCTAGTGTTCCCAAGACTTCAGGAGACATCCAGAAATAGATGGGGGAGTATCACATTTCTGAGCAGCTGTGTGGGTACAAGCGGTGGGGGACTGACAGTATAAAGGAGAAACCTGCCTTCCCCCTGTCCTGGTGGCCATAACTGGAGAGCGACACCAGCTTCCCTGGAGAAGGCCTCGGTAAGGAGCACACTACCCTCCTCCTGGGTACAGGGCAGGGAAAGACTTTTTTTAAAGGGGAAATTTGGGGTATTGATGATGGAGTTCTAGGTGTCAATAACAACAGTTTCAGGGCAACTTTTATCTTACTCTGTTTAGGCTGCTATGAAATACCACAGACTGGGTAACTTATAAACAACAGACAATTATTTCTCATAGTTCTGGAGGCTGAAGGTCTGAGATCGGAGTGCCAGCATGATCAGGTGAAGGCCCTCTTTCTGGCTTATAGCTGACACCTTCTCATGATGTCCTCACATGGTGGAAGGGGCTAGGGAACTCTGTGGGGTCTCTTTTATGAGAACAGTAAGCCCTGAGCCCTCATGAACTAATTATGTCTTAAAGGCCCCACCTTCTAAAGCCATCACAGGAGGCATTAGGATTTCAACATATGAACTTTGTAGGGACACAAACATTCAGACCATAGCGCCTTTGAAGGAGAGTTCTAGGATACCTGGAGGGTTTGGGGTCTTTGGGAAATTGGGAGGTTCCTGGGGAAGGGATTTGGAGTCACATCCCTAGAAGGGAATGTTCAGTGAGGGTCTGGATGAGGAGAAACTGTGCCCTGAGCAGAATGAGAGGAAAAACAGAGGGTGGATAAGATATAAGGGATGACCCAGCGCCTCCACCTCCTCCCCTCCCATAACCACCCCATTGCTCTGGCCCCACCTCATTCCCCCCAACACTGCTCACCAAAGTCATCAATCTACCTGTTCTGCAGTGGTCTACACTGTTAGCTGCAACCAGAAAGCAGACTCAGCAAACATTCCAGGAAGCCTCATCTGTGCCCGGCTTGGGCTGAGCTCTGGGGACATGGCACAGGTCATACCCAGTCCCTGTCCTCAAGGAACTCACAGGCCAGGAAGGGAGACAGATATATCAGGGCAGCACAGTGTGATTAGGACAGTGAGTGAGAAAGCACACGGTGACTGAAGAGCACAAAGAAGCCGGAGAGCTCCCTGGAGAAGGTGACCCCTGAGCTGAGTCTTGAAAAGTGGAAAGCAGGATGGCAACGTGTGCAGAGCCACAGGGAAGGAAGCAGTGGGGCCTCGCCTACAGCTTTGTTCTGTTCTATAGAAGCCAAGCAGGGGGCTGGGGCACAGGCTGAAGAGGTCATGGAGGGCTAGGTCACAGGGCACCCTAAATGCCAGCATGAGGAGGGCTCTGTCCTAAGGGCATGGAGGGAAGTTGTGTTTTGCTGCCTTTTTTTTTTTTCCTTTCTAGATGTGTTCTCATCTTTTCCCTCATAATTTTCATCTCAGCATTTTTACTCTGTATGCCGAGGTATTTCTTCCAGTCGGGTTTAGCACAGAGGGTTTTAAGCAGGTAAGCAACCTGACCAGTGGGGCTTTAGAAACACCTGCTCTGTGGAGGGTGGGTCAGCAGGGGTTACAGTGGAGACTGGGGTGGGGGAGGGGGAGAGGTAGGGGTAGACGGAGCCATGAAAGGGACGGGAAAAGGGAAGGAGCTTCTAGGCTGGATCCATATTGTGATCAGCATTAGTTGGCAACTAATTTAGTGTTTGATGAATGTTCGAATGTGTTTGATGAAGTGACCGTCTTGGGTTACTGGGTGAAAAAGGGGGACAGTATATTACATGAGACTCTTCCGAAGGCAAGTCAACAGGAATCATCACAAACTAGATGAAGCCTAAAGAGGAATTATCACAGGGCGGCTGGGTGGCTCAGTCATTAAGCATCTACCTTCGGCTCAGGTCATGATCCCAGGGTCTTGGAATCTAGCCCTGCATCAGGCTCCCTGCTCAGCAGGAAGCCTGCTTTTCCCCTCCCACTCCTCCTGCTTGTGTTCCCCCTCTCGCTAGGTCTCTCTCTGTCAAATAATAAATAAAATCTTAAAAAAAAAAAAGAGCAATTATCACAAGGGTACCAAGGTATTTCATGGGACCCAAGTGAAGAGCTTCTAGAAACCCTAGAAAGGTGTCTCAGTCCACCTGTGCTTTGTCTTCAAGCAGCCCTCTCTTTGCTTCTTGGTCCTCTTTTTCTTCTTGCTCTGGCGTTCTCATGTCTTCTCAGACTTAAATACACCCATCACACAAATGTCTCATCTTATTATCCATTCTTCTATCTTTTGGACATCTGCCCCTTAAGAATCCACATGTGCCAAACTGAACTCACTGTTTACCCTCCAAATCTAATGGTTCATTCATTTTTTTGTTGAGCACCTATCATGTACTGGGATGGGGCTGGGCAAGATGAGCTTTTAAAGTCCACTCTGCTCCTCCTCTGTGTTGGCAGCCTACAGCATGAAAACCTGCACGTCATTCTTGGTTTTTCCCTCTGTCACATCTCCTGTGTCCCATCAGACACCAAGTCTATTAAATTATACCTAGTGGTTCTGGGTTCATCCTCACTGCCGGTATCTTAGGCCACACAATTCAATGTCCTCAGTCTGATATCAGAAGCCAGACTTCCCTATCTCAAGCCTCTGAGCTCTCTTTTTGAAAAAAAAGAAAAAAAAAAAAAAGACAATAAAAACCAAAACCAGCCTGTGTACAGAAAGCTATGTGTGTATGCATATTTAAATATTAAATTATTTGTATGTGCACCAAAAATGGTCCTAAAGCACACTATTATCACGGTAACAGCAGGCACCAGTAGGAGTGAGAGAGGACACAGAGAGAGAAAGAAGACTGGAGCTTGGACTCTGATTCATTCATACTTTTTTCTTTTCACTATGAGCAGGCATTAACTTCATAACGAAAGAAACAAAGAAGTAGCTGCACTGATTTAGAAACTGCTGGGACTCTGCCTTCTTGGAGCCTCACTTCCCACTCCATCCTCTCGCCATCTACAGGACCCCTCACCCCCTGGGGGTCTACACCTGTCCCTGCCCAGGAAGCAGTTGAGAGCTTAAGGAAGGAGGGCTCAGTACGCAGCAGGACTTCGGGAGGGGAGGATGGCTGGATCCTGTCCCTGGAATACCTCCATGGCCCCACCAGCTGGCCTGTCCTGGACCTGTTCCAGCCTCACATCCCCCATGGGGTGAAGCCCAGACCTCTTACTGGGGCAGCCAAGACCTTTCACGACTGGCCGCAGTCTTACCAACACTCCCTCACTGCAAGCTCTGCCATGCTGGACAAAATGTCCTTCACTTTTTACATCCAATACCTTTGCTCTTCTCATTTCTGCTGCCCTAGATGCCTTTCCCACCCCAAATCCCACTCCTCTCCCAGTCTCCACTGATTGAAGGCTTATTCTCCTATTCTCCTTGTAAGACCCTGTTCAGATAACAACTTCTCCAGGAAGTCTCCCATGTTCCTGCCAGCAAGAAGGGTCCTCTCTTTCTCTCCTGAGCCTTCATTTCTTTCTTTTCTTAAAGATTATTTATTTATTTGATAGCGAGAGAGCACAAGTGGGCGTGAGGGGCAGAAGGAGAAGCAGACTCCCCACTGAGCAGGGAGCCTGAGGAGGGGCTCCATCCCAAGACCCTGTGAGCATAACCTGAGCCGAAGGCAGACACTTAACAGACTGAGCCACCTAGACGCCCCAAGCCCTCATATCTATGTTGTGACTCTATGCCAACCACTGCAAGTGGTACAAACTAGGTGCCCATTAATGTTTTTTCATCTGTACAGATTAACATTCTCATTTTCTAGATGAAGAAACTGAGACCCAAAAAGAGACAGTAACTTGTCCAGGGCTACCTCCAACATGCAGACCCCTGCCATGCTGTGTCTGCTGCTTGTGTGCAAGGGCCTCCTGGAAGCGCTGCAGGTATGGTCATCCCCCACTGTGTCCATGTCACTGGGAGCTACACTGCGGGCTTCCTCTGAACTCTGGCAGGGGGTGGGGAGTGGGGAGTCGTGGGAGGAGAGAACAACTGATATTTCCAGTGAGGCTCGCCCGACCTGAGGGGACAGCCTCAGACCCTGGTGTCTGAGAGAGGGCAGCTAGTTGTTCCCAATCCCTTTTCCCTCAAGGTGGGTTTGGGGCCATCAGTGTCCTTCTCTTCTCAGTGGAGAAATGTGATGACAGGCTCCCATCTCCTGAGGCTCATCCTCTCATTGCTCCCTCTCTGCCAGGCCCAGAGCCACCCCATCTCTCGACGAGACCTGTTCTCTCAAGAACTGCCCCTGGACATGGCCCCAGCCTCCTTTGATGACCAGTATGAAGGCTGTGCAGCAGCCATGACAGCAGCTCTCCCAGATCTCAACCAAACTGAGTTCCAGGCCAACAAAGTGTACGCGGATGGCTGGGTGCAGGCAAGCAGCCAATGGCAGGACCGCCAGGCCTGGGGGCCAGAGTGGGTCCTGAGCCCTACTGGGTTGCCCCCGCCACCCCCTGGCTTCCGCGATGAGCATGGGGTGGCCCTCCTGGCCTACACCGCCAACAGCCCCCTGCACAAGCAGTTCAATGCCGCCGTGCGTGAGGCAGGCCGCTCCAGAGCCTACTACCTCCACCACTTCTCCTTCAAGACACTCCATTTCCTGCTGACCGAAGCCCTACAGCTGCTGGGCAGGGGCCAGCGTTCGCCCCAGTGCCACCAAGTGTTCCGAGGGGTGCACGGCCTGCGCTTCCGGCCAGAGGGGCCCAGGGCAACCGTCAGGCTGGGGGGTTTTGCCTCCGCGTCCCTAAAGAATGTTGCAGCCCAGCAATTTGGGGAGGACACCTTCTTTGGCATCTGGACCTGCCTTGGGGCACCTATCAAGGGCTACTCCTTCTTCCCTGGGGAGGAGGAGGTGCTGATCCCCCCCTTTGAGACCTTCCAGGTGATCAACGCCAGCAGACCGGCCCAGGGCCCCGCCCGCATCTACCTCCGGGCCCTGGGCAAGCACAGCACCTACAACTGCGAGTACATCAAAGGTAGGCAGGCACGCAAGACAGGCTTGCCCCCCAGGCTCAGGGGACATGTACATAAGTACCACAATCAAATGAACAGTGAGGGGGACCCAGTCCTGTCCCTCTCCCCGCCACCCCCATACTGTGCAGCTAAGGGAAGACAAGCTTCTGAGGTAGTGTGCCACTTGCCCTTGGAGGTACCTAAGCCAGGGCTGGCCACTTGCCCACGGGGAGGCTGAAGAGGGTTTCCAGACTGAGGCAGGTAGCCATTTGAGGGCCAAATGGAACTGGTCAGGCTTTTCTTCCAGCTGGAAGCTGGAAGGCAATTAATTTCTGGCCACAGCGCTGACACCCAGACCACTGTTGCCAGGTATGAGGAAGAGCCCCAAACTCAGTTTCTGAGAGGAGCATGTGTGTTCAGCTGAATGGAAACCCTGTGCTGTTGTGTGGACTGGGTGGGGGTGCAGGCGGGATGCTGAGACAGCAGTTGGGTTCCGTAGTCCCAGCTCAGTCTGTCGATCCCCCAGGACCCACCAGAGGTAGAATCATGAGGACAGGCCCAGGTTCCTAATCTCTGAAGGGGCTGTGGACTGCTGGTCCTGGCTGAGTGATGCCTGGGGCCTTGTGAGGCCCACTTTGCATCATTAGAGCCAGGTTGTTGGCTGAACTGTGGACCACATGTAAAATGGGAGAAGGTCCAGTATGGCTTCCGTTCCCACCAGGGACAGCATCATGGGTGTGCATGAGTTGATGGAAGGTGAGGAAGACATGAAAAGTACATGAACTAGTGCCTCCTTGGCTGGGACACAGCCTGGGAGAGGTGGTCACACAGGGAGGCAAAGTTAAAGGCCAGGGAAGCAGGAGGAGCACCCAGAAGAGACCCTGGCTTTGAGGGCTGGCTCCCTTCTAGCTCTGCTGCTCATGGGTCATGTCAAACACAGGTAAAGGAGGCCCCACCATAAGGAAGCTCATTAGAGGAAAATGTGCCAGCTTCCATGAGAATAAGCCAGAGACGGACCAGAGGGTTCTGGGGTTCCTTCCTGTCCTGAGAGCTACTGAGCCTTGGTTTCTTCCCTACAGACAAGCAGTGCAAGTCCAGGTCCTGCCCTCTTGGTAACTCAGGTAAGAGCCTCAAGCTTCTGCAGGGCTCAGCTCAAGGGTGAGCGGGCTGCCCTGGGGTGGCACTCCTCTCCTGCATGCACAGCCCTGTGCAAAGGAAAACAACCCCCTTCTAATCCAAACAAGTAAACCCTCTCAAGCAGACCCCTGCGGGGGTGGTGAACCTACCTCAGAGGACGTGTGTGTATGTACGGGGCAGTGGTCATGCAAGCTTACATACCTGCCCCTCGCCCCAGTCTGGGGCTGCCCCCTCCCTCACAGGAGGCCACTGATGGGGAGAGATCTGGGCTGCACTGGGGGTATGGAGTCCCATGCCCATGCCCACCCACAGTCCTCCCTGGGTCTTCTCCTTCAGCTGCAAAACCCACTGTTTCTATCACTGCCCTCAGGACTCCCTCAGACCACCTTCCAAGGTAGTGGTCAGGCTCTGGGTGCTGGAGACCTGGACTCTCATCCAGACTCTGCCCTCACTCTCTCTGTGACCAATCAAGCCCTCTCTGAGCCTCAGTCTTTCTAACTGTATAATATGCGTATTAGACTAGATGATCCCCAGGTCCCTCTCAGCTGTGACTCTTTCCTTCCCTTGAATACCTTCTGTACCCGGGCCTGCCTGGGCCTCACTTCTCCAGGTGGGAAAGGGCTTTTCAAGGAACCAAGTGGAACAGGCCAGGAGACTGCAGCCACTACTCCCCCTTAGGTTCCCCCCCACCCAGGGCTCTATGAACAGCGGACAGGAAGGAGCCCTAGACTTCATTTTGTTCCCACCATTCTCCATGACATAGTACCACTCAGAGTTGCAGGCATCCTCACCACGACCCAGTGGTGTAGGCTCTGTCATCGCCTCTGTTCTACAGATGAGGGAACTAAGCCCCAGCGAGGCAACCAGCCCTACACACACAGCTAGTCAGGGATGGGGTCCGGACAGCCAAACTCTGAACCACCACCTCTCCCCAGACACCATCTCATTTTATTCTTACTGTACAATAAACTATTGGAAGGGGAAAGAAAAGGCAGTATTACCCTCATTATATAGTAAAAGGAGACCCAGAGATAGAAGGAACCTGCCCAAGGGGACAGAATGAGTCAGTGGCAGAGCCAGGGTCAGAATCCAGATCTCCAGCCTCCAACCAGCTTGAGTGCCGGTAATGTCATCTCACGCAGTGGACAAGGTTAGGATTCCCCCCAGTAATCAGGGGTTGTACAGAGGGGCAAAGATAAGCGTCACTAGAGCTCACTCATGTCTTCCCCTTGTTTATCCCACCCTAGAATGGCTCTTTTGTGTCGGCAGGAGGCAGGGGCACAGAACCTCCTAGTGACATCTGGAAAAGGGCCTGGGGTCCTTTCATCTGCCTGCTGTCCTCCCTGAATTCTTGCTTTTCATATCTGGCTCTCATTCCACCTTGGGGGTCAGTGTTTCCAGCCCACTCTGCTCATTCCTCTTATCGTGTTTGTGTACCTCATTTTGCACTGAAACCTCTCTCTCTGCCTTTGTTTTTCCTGTAGTCATGGGTCAAGGCCCCTCTTCTTCAGTCTGGTCCCTCCTACTGCCAGTCTGGTTCCTTGTCAGGGGAACCTTTCCATAGAGTCCAGGCCTGCCATGATCCATCCAACACTGAACAGCCCCTCCTGGCCACCGCGCTGCCTCAGCCCGACATGGGGATGTCGGCCCCCTATGTGCTTTAAGAGCAGCCAGGATCCATGGTGACCCTCTGCAGAGAACTCTGGGACTTTCTCTGGCAGTTGCCAGGTTTGCTGATGGAGAATTAAGGGAATCTGGGGACTGAGCCTTCCCCAAGGCTTTAAGAGTGAGACACTGAAAGGGGGCAGTGGTCTCTAAAGGCAGGCAACTACTCATTTGGAGACTGACGATGAAACTAGTTTGAGGAGGGATTGGGGAGGAAAACACTTGGCCACGGTATTTGCTGGTATTACTCGAATGGCTCACATATGCACCTGGAAAGCTCCCATTCACTCTTCCAGGAAGCTTCCTCTGACCTCCCCCAGCTGGTTGAGCTAGGGCCCCTGCCTCTTTGCTCACACGGGTCCCTGGCTGCTTCCCTACACCACGTGTCAGTGTTTGTCTCCCATGTCAGTCTGGGAGCTTCCTGAGGGCAGGGACTGGGTCTAAAGCACAGGGGTGGTGCCAGACAGACAACATGTGACAGTCGGAAAGGAACAAACCCCTCATGAATTCCTCACTGCTGCACTGCCCCACCTTGGTCACTTTGAAGCTCTCTGAATGTCAGTGTGTGGAAATGATGTGGACGGGCTCCAGCTCCAGAGGGCAGAGAGCAGGACAGACAGCAGAGACAGCATCAGGTCCACTGCCAGGATCTCAGCTGAAGACTCAGTTGAATTCTTGTCAGCAAAGACATAATCTCTGCTGTGATCTATTCGTCCTAAGGCTCCTGTCTCTAGAGACACAAACCTGGACCTCTACCTTCCAAAGCCACAGGCCCAGAGGTAAAACAGCATTGAAGAGGTGTGAGGCACACACTTTATTATAAGTTGAGGCTTTGGGGCTGAATCCTCATGTGGCCTCCTCTGGAAACGAGAGAATGAATCCTGGATCCCCTTCCCCGAGTCCTTCCTAACATAGCAGCCACGGAGGAAGGAAGAGAGGACAAGGAAGTATGGTCATTCTGTTTCTCATGTAACCTGCACTCTCGCCACCAAAAGCTCTAACATGCAGCATCGAAATTCAATTCTGCCCCTCCAGGACTGTGTTTCGATCTTGGCTCTTCTTAGAGTGCCCCTTCTGTAGGAATTAGGGCAGTGGCAAGCTATGGATTTCCCTTAAAGTTTAGGGTATATAGAAAAGCGATCCCTGTGGTTTGTGAAATCAGCAGTGCTCAGCCTGGAGGGAGAGTGTCGCCAGCTCTTAGGCACAGCAGGGAGAAACTAGGTGGCCTAGCAGAGAGCCAACCACCACCTGGCCTTTCCATCCCTCTCTGGAGGGGCTGTGGCTGCACCAGACCCCTGTAACTCAGAGGGCCTGCACCAGCACCAGGAGGCTCATGACCAGGGCCATGGAGAAGAAGATGCCCAAGAAGAAGCGATCCATCACACGGGCCAGTCGTTTCCAGTCCTCATGGCAGCGCTGGGCAGCCCTGTGGCTGTGGAAGGTGTTAGCAATGGTAGATACGTGGCGCAGGAGGGCTTCCTGACGGCACAGACACTGTGGCTCACGGCAAGGAACTGCTGGAGGGCGAGCACCTCCGTCAGGAGGCTGGGGACTGGGGGGTGACTCAGGTGATCTAGACTGCCCACAGGGCTCCCCTCGTTCCCGCACGCACAGGCCTCGTGCCAGGCGTCCCAGCAGGAGGGCCCGAGCCCAGGCTGGCACTGGTCGGGCGCTGGGACCACAGTAGTGCAGGTTCATGATAAGGATGGTGAGCGCTGTGGAGAATGTGACCATGGTCATGGTGGCCATGTAGTACTTCCCTGCAAGAAAGAGAGTAATCTGGGGCCCAAAACAAGAACTCAGCGGGCCTGAGCTTGACCACCGCCTCAACACAAACAAGCACCAGCTCACCCACCCTGAGGCTTTCAGGACCCTCCAGTCCCAATGGATGGAATCAGGAAGGAGGTAAAGGCCAAGATCTCTTCATCCTCTGTTCTTACAAGGGTTCTCAGAAGCTACCTGCTCCCTAATTTTTCTCCTCACTGCTGGACCCTGCACTCCCCCACAGACCGTGACAGTTACTCTCAAATGGTACGAGCACAATCTGGGGGTAAGTTACTGATCCTTTTGCACAACTGGGATAACAGAACCTACCTCATAGATGTGTCGTGATGCCTCTCTGAGTTAATAAAAAAAAAAAAAAAGTCACGTGCTTAGGAGAGGGCCTAGCACACAGCCAGAACTCAACGCATTTTGCCTGCTAGGACAGGCGAGGGGTGGGGTGTCCCTCCTCTCCCCTCCATCTCCGAATGAGGCACGCTCCCAGGATGCTCCCTCCTCCCGCACCCACCTGGGGTTGCGGCGGGGGGCCGGTCCCTACCCCGCCCCGCCCCGCCCCGGTCTGTGGAGACCCGCGAGCCTGGGCGGGGAGACCGTCTCTGGGAGGCGAAGGCTCTCTCTTCCCGCCCCTGCCCCCCAGCACCGCCCCCTCGCGGCTCACCGATGAGCGGCACGCTCTCCGCCGGCGGCATGCTCTCGGCCAGGAGCAGCTGGAAGACGGTGAGCGCCAGCAGCACTGTGACGCCGAGCGACACTTTCTCGCCTGAGTCCGCCGGCAGGTGGAAGGCCAGCGGCGCGAGCAGCGAGATGAGCACGCAGGGCAGCAGCAGGTTGCACACGTAGGCGGCGGCGCGCCTGCGCAGCAGCAGCGTGAAGGTCACGTCGGGGTAGGGCTCCGAGCAGCAGCCGTAGGTGAGCACGCGCCGCCGCGCCGGCATGCCCAGCACGCGCCACTCCACGTTCTCCACGAAGTCGGCCAGGCTGGCGGCGGTGCCGCGTGGACGCACGTCCAGCTGGTGCCCGCCGTGCGTCCAGGAGCCGAACGTCAGGCCGCAGCGCTGCGCGTCGAACGGGAAGGCCGACACGTCCACGCGGCACGAGCTGCGCGTGATGGCCGGCGCGTCCCAGCGCACGGCGCCGTCGTGCCGCAGGACCACGTTGGTGCTGGCGGAGGCCGGCGGCTGCGTGTCCGCCCTGCGGGGAAGGCAGGGTGGGACTCCCTGAGGCGGCAGCGCGTGCGGAATCTGCCGGGCCGCGCAGAGGACAGAGCGGGTGGCAGAGAGGCACCTGCGTGCCTTTGGAGGCTTAGAAGGGGTGGCGCCTGCAGGGCCGAAAGGAGACACAGATCTAGGCCCGGGCAGTGTGAAAACACATCTGCAAGAGCCGGCGCCCGGCTGCATGGTGTCATCTGAGAATCTCCTGGAGGGCCCCCAGGGAAAACATGCAGAGTTCTATGTTGTCTGGGGAACACTGAACTGCCCTAGGTGGCATCAAGGAGGGCTCCAGAGGGATATGCCCTGGAGGAAGTTCCTAGGCAGGCCCTCGGGGAGTCCTGAGAGACTTGGAGCAGGCCTGAGAGGGTGGAGAATGCCGTCAGGGGCACTTGTGTCCCAGAACCCTCTCTGTGAGGGGCACAGAACTGGCCCTGGACTACACAGTGGGTTCCCAGGAGACATTCAGCCTGCGTTGTCTTGGGACTAAAGAGGGGGTGTCCTGGAGGGGCTGTGAGCTCCTGGCAGTTTAGGAGGGTCCTGGGGGAAAAGCTTCCAGGTTAGGTTTGGGGGGGCGCGGATGGGGAATCAGTGGATACCTAGAGCCTGGGGCAACAGTGGGGAGGGGTTATGATAGGGGAGGGGCCCAGGAAGACAGTACTTGTTGTAGAGTACGATGTCTGGTCGCCACACAAGACTGCTGGGGATGCGGATAGCGTCAAGGCCACCGTAAGCATTGGGGTCCCATCGTAGGTAGGCGTCTGTCCACTCCTGTCGGATCCACAGGTACAGGGTCAGCACCTGGTTCCGCTCATCCTAGTGGGGGGCAGGGAGTGGGCACAGATGTGGACACATCTATATGCACACCCTTCCCTGTGTGTACACACTCACCTACAGAGCTCTGGAGGGCACCCACAAAACCAGCTGACTGACAGTCCAGTTCCTACCCAGGCCTGACCTTGCTATTATGGGACCTTGGCAGTTCCTTTTCTTCTTTAGCCCTCAGTTTCCTTAGTAGTTACATGGGTGATAATCCCTGCCAGGCAGGAATGCAAGTGTGCAAAGTGTTGAGCACACTGTTGGCACCCAGCAGTCAGTATCTGTTATTATTGTTGTTGTTAATATTAACATTTATAGAAAAGAATTGTTTGGAGAATAATCCCAGTCTCTCACTCACCCCCGCCCCCCGCCACGCCAGTTCCTTGACACTACCACCACAACACACCATGTCGATGATCTGGGACAATGTCACCTCCAGGGTCACATTCAGAGTCTGGTCTGTGTCTGCCACGGGTCTCAGGGCACTTGTGTAGTTAGCAAAGAGATCACGGAAGAGTTTGTGAGCCAGCTTGCCCTCGGCGCCCAAGCACTCTGGGGGACCAGGAAGAAGGGTTGTCCATCTGAGACCCTTGTCCAGGGGCCTCTGTTCACACACCCTCCACCTGCCCATGACTGGGGCCCTGTCACCTGGTCTGCTGTCTCATGGCTACCTACTTGGCCCTCCTGAGGTCTGCTCTGTCCATCTAGCTGTCTAGACAGACCTGTCTCCTGAGGTCTGCTCTGTCCCTCCTCCCTGGACTGCCTCCGTGGAAGAGCGAGGTGGAGGCCGAGGAGTGAATTGATACTGTCTTCTGGAGCAAGGCTGACAGGTTTCTTCCCCACCCTTTCCCTTCCTAGGGAGCTGGGTTCTGCCCACCCTACTGTGAATGCCAGAGGGGCCCAAATAGGCGACAGGAGTCCCGTCCCTCACCCAGGTGTTGTGAGCCCCTTTGCTACCACCCCCTACTTTCTCTCTAACCTATTTCCACTTATCCAGCTGCACGTCTATGGATTTTTTCAAAGCTTCTGATGCCATGGGCCATTCTGTCCTGAAAACACTCTCCTCCCTAGGCTTCCATGACACACATTGTTTTCAGGCCCGGACTCACGTATTGTTCCCCAGAAGCCTGTCAATGTCCTTTTCTTTTTAGCCCGAATTTTTCTCCTGAGATCCAGACCCATAAACACAACAGTTCACTCCTGAATGTCCTATTGGCACCTTAAACTCTGTAGGTCCAAAATAGGAACTCATTTCCTACCCCCATGCTCTGAAACCCTGTTCCTTGTTCTGTGGTCCCTCTCAGCAAACAGCACCCAACCCCCGTGATGTCAGCCAGAAATCTGGGAGTTATCCTTCCTTTCTGCTGCCTCCCTCTGCACCCCTGCCCATACCTAGGTCCCATTAGCCATGCTGCTGGGCATCCTTTGAATGTCTGGTCGCCCCTGCTGCTTGAGTGGACCCAGCAGCAGCCTCCTCACGGCTCCTGCTGCTGGTGCAGCCTCTTTAACCCTCCCCCACATTTCTGAGATCAGGCTTTTAAACACTCAAGTCTGACCAAGCCAGTAGCTGCTTAAAACTATTCAATGGCTCCCCATTGCCTGCTGGATAAAGTCCAAACTCTGCCTGGCATTCAACGTCCTTCATAATCTGCCCCACCCTCACCCCCCGGCTTGTCCATCACTGCTCCCACCGGAGCCAGGCAGGTCTCCTGTCCTCTTCAGCACCTCCATCCTCCATGCTACCCAGATAGAGTGCTGGTTTCCAGCACAGTAGTAAAGAGAAATCGGATGTGGACAGAGATCTGGGGAAGAAGGGTACAGCTGCAGGGCCCAGAGACGCAGGGCTGGTTTATTGCATGTCGCACCTGGAAACAGTGAGAACAGAAACAGAAGGCCCAGGCTGGAGACAGAGAAGACGAGGCTGAAGTGGTGGCTCCTGGGCCCCATGCTCCTGCCACAGCAAGACTTAGGGCGGGTCCCCAGGTGTGAGTCTTGGGACCCGACTGAGGGCAGCATCAGGCTGTGCTGGCAAGGACGATACCTGGAAGTCAGAAGTAAGACTGAGATCTCTGCTGAGGAGCCCTGTGGCCCTTCCAGTTTTCTGACCCTCCTGTTTGTACTTGCCGTTGGGTTTTAGTACTTGATCTTGGCATCTGCTCATTCTCCTCCGCCGGTCCTTGCCTCTTCTAGCCTCTGTCCCTGCCCTTTACTCTCCCCACCCCCCACCCCTCTTACCTCCCACTCAGCCTCTGTATCTCCATTTCCTTGTGTCTCTTCCTCTGGAACTCTTTCTTGCTCTCTGCCTCTTTGACTTTGGTCTTCCTCCTTCCACTCTCTCTTCCTTTCCCCTTCTATTTCAACCCCCTAACTTCCTTTCTCTGTCCCCCATACCTCGACTCCGGATGACCCTGGCACACTCTCAGCAGGACAGGGGCAGGGACTCTTCACCAGCCCTGAGCCCTCTGAGGCATAGGGCTGCAGGCCCCTCCCCTTCGCCCTTTTCATTAGCTTATTTACAGGGTTGGGACACCTGTGCCCATGGGAACAGAGCAACTGAAGCTGGCACCTCAGGTTACTGGGACCTGAATTATTCAAATCATAATGCAGCACCCAGGCTCAGCTCAAGCGCAGCCTGGGGTGTTGGAGAGCAGAGATGCTGGGGTCAGGATCTGCAAAGACTGGGCTTAAGGGTGTGAGGGGTCAGAGCCGTGGGTGGTGTTGTCCTCCTAGCTCTGCCACCATAGCTGGATTCTCTTTTTTAAGATTTTATTTATTTATTTTTCAGAGAGAGAGGTGGGGGTGGCACAAGCAGGAGGGAGAGGCAGGCTCCTTGTTGAGCAAGGAGCCCAATGCAGGACTCGATCTCAGGACCTTGGGGTCATGACCTGAGCCAAAAGCAGACACTTAACCGACTGAGCTACCCAGATGTCCCCATTGCTGAATTCTTGAGGCTCCCTTTATTTTAATTTTTTAATTTAAATGCAGTTAATTAACATAACATAGCATATCATTAGTTGCAGAGGTAGAGAGTAGTGATTCATCAGCTGTGTATAACACCTAGTGCTCATCACATCACATGCCCTCCTTAATGCCCATCACCCAGTTACTCTATCCTCCCACCCAGCTGGAGGCTCCCTTTAGACTGACAGCTCTGCCTCCAGTGAGAGATGGAGCACATCGGTCCAGGCTGGGCACTTTGTGCCAAGCAAGCTCTCCCTTCCTGGGGGGAATGGGACTGAGCCTTAGCTAAGTCTGTGGTCCAGGTGGCCCCACAAAGCCGGAGATGCAGCTCACATCCTCATCTCCAGCTCTCTACAGCCATCCCTATCCAAGTCTCCGTGTTCTCTCTATGCCCCAACACCGTAGGTGACATTGGGTAGCAGGAAAAACACAGCCTTTAGAGTCACCTTCAGCTCTGTCTTACGAGCAGTTTGACTTGTGCAAGATACTGAAACTCTCTGGGTTTGTTTTCTCATACAGGATAATGTGATTAACAGTCCTCACTTTGGAAGTTTTAAGTATTAAATGAGACAAGCAATAACACAAGGCAAGTGCCTAGAACATTGCCTGATGCACAGCAGTTAACAAAAAACATTTATACTATAATCCCAGTGAATTAGTTAGAATATTCTATCTTCAGGGGCACACCCTTAGATTCACAAGCCCCCAGCCCCAGGCAACCACTATTCTACTTTCTCTCTCCATGATTTTGACTTAATAGCTCATGTGAGTGGAATCACATATTCATCATTTAAAAAAAAAAGATTTTATTTATGAGAGAAACAGCACAAGCAGGGGGAAAAGGGGCAGAGGCTGAGAGAGAAGAAGACTCCCTGCTGAACCACGAGCCCAACGTAGGGCTTGATCCCAGGACCCTGGGATGATGACCTGAATTGAAGGCAGATGTTAACTTACTAAAGCCACCCAGGCACCCCTAAATCACGTATTTGTCTTTTTGAGATTAGCTGATTTCACTTTGCATAATAACATCCACAATAACATCCATTTTTTACATGTCAGAACTTCCTTATTTTAAGGCTGTTTATATTTTATTGTAAGTATATACTACATTTTGCTTATCCATTCATTCCCTGAGGAATACTTAGGTTGCTTCCACATTTTAGCTAGTGTGAATAATACTGCTGCGTAAGGAAGTAGAAATATTTCTTCAAGACTTTGCTTTCAGTTCTTTTGGATTATATACTCAGAAATGGAATTGCTAGGTCATATGGTAATTCTATTTTTTATAATTTGAGTAATCGCCATACTACTTTCTACAGTGGCTATAATATTTTTTCCCCACCAACAGGGTTCAGTGGTTCCCATTTCTCCACATCCTCACCAACAACTGTTACTTTATTTTGTTTTGTTTTGTTTTTATACTAGCCATCCTAATGGGCACAAAGTCATATCTCACTGTATTTGATTTACATTCCCCTAATTAGTGGTTAAGCATCGTATCATGTGTTCATTGGCCATTTGTATGTCTTCTTTGGAGAAATGTCTTTTCAAGTCCTTTGTCCATTTATTAAATTGGGTTTTGTTGTTGTGTTCTAGGAGTTCTTTTTGTATTCAGCATATCAATCCCTTATGAGGTGTGTAATTTGCAGATATTTTCTTCCATTCTGTGGGTTGCTTTTTTTACTCAGTTGATTTATTTTTTTGGTGAACAAAATTTTGAATATTTTATAAAGCTTAATTTGTCTATATATATAATTTTTTTGCCTGCACTTTGAATTCATATCCAATAAATCATTGCCATATCCAATGTTGCAAAGTTTTTGCCCTATATTTTCTTCTAAGAGTTTTATAGTTTCAGTTCTTACATTTAATAAGTGTTTGATCCATCTTTAATTTTTGTGCATGGTGTTTACATAAAGGTCCAAGTTCATTTCTTTGCATGTGGATATCCAGTTTTCCTAGCATCATTTGTTGAAAAGACTGTCCTTTCTCCCATTGAATGGTCTTGGCACCCTTATCAAAAATCATTTGACCATATATGTGAGGGTTTATTCCTGGGCTCTCTGTTCTAGTCCATTAGTCTATATGTCTGTTTTTATGCCCATACCACACTGGTTTGGTTTTTTTTTTTTTAAGGATGTATGCATTTTTTTGACAGAGAGAGAGAGATCATAGGTAGGCAGAGAGGTGGGCAGAGAGAGAGGGGGAAGTAGGCTCCCCGCTGAGCAGAGAGCCTGATGCAGGGCTCAATCCCAGGACCCTGAGATCATGACCTGAGCTGAAGGCTAACCTAACCCACTGAGCCACCCAGGTGCCCCAGCACTGTTTTGATTACTATAGCCTTGTATTAAGTTTTAAAGTCAGGAAATGTGAGTCCTCCAGCTTTGTTCTTTTAGACAGGACTGTTTTGGTTATTAGAGTCCCTTGAGATTCCTTATGAATTTTAGTTTGGATTTTTATATTTCTGGAAAAAAAAGCCACTCAGATTTGGAGATGGATTGCGTTACAGCTATAGATCACTTTGGTTAGTATGGACATTTTAAGTTTTCCATTCCACGAATGTGAGATGTCTTTCCATTTGTGTCTTAATTTCTTTTAAGCAATGTTATACACTTTTCAGTGTACATGGTTTTGCCTCCCTGGTTATGTTCATTCCTAATGATTTTATTCTTTTTGATGCTATTGAAAATGGAATTGTTTGTAATTTCCTTTTTGGATTGCTCATTATTAGTGTATAGAATGCAACTGATTTTTGCATGTTGATTTTGTGTACTGCTACTTTGAATTCATCTATTAGTTCTAACAGTGTTGTTGAACTGTGTCATTATTGTTGTCATTGTTTGGTGTAATCTTTAGGGTTTTCTACATATAAGATCATATCATCTGCAAACAGCTTTTACTTTTTCCTTTCCCATTTGGATATCTTTTATTTGTCTTTTTTTTCCTAATTGCTCTGGCTAGAACTTCCAATATTATGTTGAATATAAGTGGTGAATATAGATATCCTTATCTTTTTCCTGATCTTAGAGGAAAAGCTTTCATTCTTTCACCATTGAGTATGATGTTTGTTGTGGGTTTTCATATATGGCTTTTATTTATTTTTAAAGATTTATTTGAGAGAAAGGGGGGGAGAGAGAGAGAGAGAAAGTGGGAGCAGTGGGAGGGGTAGAGGGAGAAGGAGAGAAAATCCTCAAGCCGACTCTCTGGCAAGTGCACAGCCTGACGCAGGGCTCAATTCCAAGACCCTGAGATCATGACCTGAGCTGAAACAAAGAGTTGGACACTTAACTGACTGAGCCACCCAGGCGCCCCTATATATGGCTTTTATTATGTTAAGGTAGCTTCCTTCTATTCCTAGTTTGTTAAGTGTCTTTATCATGAAAGAATATTGAATTCTGTCAAATACTTTTTCTGTATAAATTAAGATGATCATGTGCTTCCCCCCCATTCTGTTAATGTGGTATATTACATTGATTGATTTTCATATGTTGAACCATCCTTGCATTTCAGAAATAAATCCCACTTGGTCCTGGTGTGTAATCCTTTTGCTATGCTGCTGAATTAAATTTGCTGGTATTCTGTTGAGGATTTATGCATCAATGTTCATGCAAGATACTGGTCTGTAGTTTTCTTGTAGTGTCTTTGTTCAGCTTTGTAATAAGGGTGATTGTATACATTAAATGGGTAATTGTAGGTAGGGGTGCCTGGCTGGCTCAGTTGGTACAGCATGAGAGCTTGATCTCAGTGTTGTAAGTTTGAGCCTCACACTGGGTATAGAGATTACTTAAAAATAAAATCTTTAAATGGGTAATTGTATGGTATGTGTATGTGAATTATATCTCAATAAAGCTGTTGCCAAAAATATCATACTCCATCGTGAATGAGAATTAGCTGAAACAAGAAAACAACCACAGAAACAAGAGCAATCACAAATATTGAACATTTTAATTAATAATAATTTGAATAGTATATTTTAGGTATTGCTCTAAACACTGTAACATACATTAATTCATAATTCTCACAACACCCTATAAAGTAAATACTATTATCTGTTCCATTTTATAAATGAGGTAACTTAGGCACAGGAATAACTTATTCAAGATTCCATAATATATACCAATGGACTCAGGATTTAAATACTGATAATTGGAGTCCATGTCTTTCTAAAAAATTTTTTTAAGGATTTTATTTGAGAGAGAGAGAGCACAAGTTGGGTTGGGGGCGGGGGACAGAGGGAGAAGCAGACTCCCCACATAGCAGGGAGCCCAATGTGGGGCTTCATCCCAGGACCCTGACATCATGACCTGAACCAAAGGCAGATGCTGAACCAACTGAGCCATTCAGGTACCCCAGAGTTCATGCCTTTCTATGCTACAACTATACAGCCAATTTTAAAAACAAAGTATATGTATGCATAATATGATTTAAATACAAAGGATTGAAAATTTATTAAAGAATAAGAGAACTATCAA